TGAGATGCCCATCTCTACTCTTCTGGCCTAAAGTCTAAGGGTTCCTACAAGTCTAAGGGTTCCTACAAGACTTGCAACCAGGAGAGCAACGGGCAGCTCATTTGGGGCTTACCCCCTGAACCTGTCCCCAAGGCCCCCTTTTCTCTGACCCCGCTGTGAGCTGACAGCAGCCCCACCTTGGCTCACTCCTTTCCTATCACTTTTCCAGGGAGCCAAAGCAGGGCACCACCTGGGCTCTCTCTCCAGTGCTTCATCTATGCTAAGCCCTCCCTTCATCTCACTGTCACCAGCTTTTTAAAAAATTTAATTTATTTATCTTTAGAAGGGAAGAAAAGGAGAGAGGGAGAGAAATATCAATGTATGGTTGCTTTTTGTGCATCCCCTGTTGGGAACTGGCCTGCAACCCAGGCATGTGCCCTGACAGGGAATCAAACCCCGGTCTTTTGGTTCACAGGCCCATGCTCAATCACTGTCACCAGCGTTAATAATCATACTTTCAAAATGATCTGGATTTTTAGTGAAATCTTTCCTGCAGAGTCAAGAACTCACACACTACCAGCTGGCATGTGGCACACCGGCTTGGGGAGGTTCCTTTCCGGTGACACTTCCAGAAACCCCGCATTTTTCAGCACAACCACCTACCCATCAGCTTCCCGAGTCTTCTATTAGAGACGCCCTCTGCTCCAGTCCAATCCGATCCCACAACATCGCCTGTCTCTGGGCCTCTGCCCTGACTCCATCCTCACCAAAAATATGCATCCACCAAGTGCAGAAAGATACTGTCTACATGAAACCATCCCATGGTGCCCAGGCGGAAATGATTCATTACAACTCCTTTCCACTACTGTACTTTATTATTAATGCAGCAATTAACACAGACCTGCCTATATTTTGTCCTCACTACATCGTAAATTCCTTGAGGGAAGGGAACTTTGTCTTACAAATGTTGGTTTCGACCCTTTTCTCTCAGCCAGCCCCAGTTTAGCACTTAAGATACTAGAAATAAAGACAGAAACAAATGAAATTATATGCTTAAGAAAGTCTCAAGTTTCCCTACACCTGCTTGGAAATTCCTGCACGTAAAAAGTTTATTTTTGCAAGCCCAGATATTGGAATCTGAACAAACAAACCTAAACTCGTGTCTTACAAGTTGGTTATATCCTCTCTCATATTCAACATATACCAACACCCTTCCTTACATAAAACTTCGTTTGAGAAGAACCCAAAGGGAATGGCAGGAAGGGGGAGGGGATTTCCCCCAGAACATCCATGCTTATGGGAAAATACAAGTTGCTGCAGGAGTATGAGGAGGGAAAGGCCAGGTGCTCTTTAGGGAAACATCCCTCCCTTGTAGCATAAAACCCCCACTGCCCTGAGCTGACCTACACCCACTTACAGTAGTTTATCTCTTATAGCAGGGGCGTCAAACTTATTTTCATTGGGGGCCACATCAGCTTTGCGGTTGCCTTCAAAGGGCCAAAATCATTTTAGGACTGTATAAATGTAACTACTCCTTAACTGTTAAGGAGTCGAAATTACACTCAGCCCTTGAAGGCAACCACAAAGCTGATGTGGCCCCCGGTGAAAACGAGCTTGACACCCCTGTCTTAGTGTATTCACTTGACAAACAAGGACCTAGATACAAGACAGCCCCTTCTTGATCAATACCAGTAGAACCGGATAACAACAAGGAACCCCACAAGCTTATTATGAAATAAAGAGGGAAGAGACGAAGGAGGTACAAATGTTCTAGGCCGTCAGACAGACATGAGTGGAGCAAGGACGACAGGCCAGGTACGAAAGGTCACTGGGGTGGAAAGAAGGGGGAGGAGCGTGGTGCTTAGGCACAGACAAAACCGGGAAAACAAGGACCTCCCCCAGGGTGACCTTTCCTCTCCTTGCATGTCACTGTCCTTGCCATCTAGACCCGCTTTGAGGGGGCAGGAAAATAGGTCTTACGTATTAAGCCCCCAGGAAAATGAGATGCTGACCTGTATTAAAAACATCCAGGCCTCAGTTGTGTTTCAGCTCCAGGCCCAGAAAAGCAGCCACACCACACAAGGAGGCCACGGCTGACAGCAAGAGCAGCTGCAGCGACTAAAGACCTCCTGTCCGGTGCTGACCAACCAATGGAGACCATGACCCTGAAAGGACACGCCTGAAAAGCTGATGAACGGTTTACTGAATCCTCTCCTGGGACTGCTCCTAACACCCCCACCCCTAAAGAGTCCTTAGGATGGAAGACCCAAGGCAGCGCTGTCCGAGGAGCTCAGCAGCACCTTCCCCGGCCCTCCTAAGCTCGGAGGGGCCTTCCTTTGGCTTCTGTAACTTGTTTCCCAAGCCCAAGTCTTCTACGGTTCACTTCTTTTACCTTTATGACTCTCTAAATACACTTTCTTTTTAAAATTCATTTAAAAAAATTGATTTTAGAGAGAAAGGAAGGGACAGAGAAAAACACTGATTTGTTCTACTTATTTATGCCTTCATTGGTTGATTCTCATGCGTGACCTGACAGGGTATCGAACCCACAGCCTTGCTTTATTGGGACAATGCTCTAAACAACTAAGCATCCTGGCCAGGGCTAAATACACTTTCCTGTATAGTTTTGAGTCTTGGCTCTGGATTCTTTCTCTGCCAGAACTCAAGTCCAGGTCTGTTCTGACCCCACCAGGCCACACCTGGTGCCGTTTTGCTGCCAATACAAAGATGAGCAGTAATCAAGCTGTCAGGAGACCCTCAGTGGCACCCCCTCAACGCTTCTTCAGAGACATACTTCTCACTGCGTTTCTCTGGACTAAGGAGCAAAGGTGCAAGTAGATAATTAACGGGGATTGTTTTCCTTTTCTCATTGCCATTTTCATTCTGAACTTGGAAAATCAGGACTGGACACAGGAGTCACCCCTTTCAGAGCTGTTAATATTAAGTTTCGCCCTGGCTGGTGTAGCTCAGTGGATTGAGCACGGGCCTGCGAACCAGACAATCACAGTTTGATTCCCGGTCAGGGCACATTCCTGGGTTGCAGGCCAGTTCCCTGCAGGCCAATTCCCAGCAGGGGACGCACGAAAGGCAACCAGACATTGATGTTTCTCTCACTCTCTCCTTCCCTTTCCCTCTAAAGATAAATAAATAAAATCTTTAAAAAAATTAAATAAAAGACATTAAAAACAATATTAAGTTTCACTCATTTTGAGTCAGGCTAGTAAGCCAGGGCAAGAGAAAGAAGGCGGAAAAAGAGTCCAACAGCCTAGCAATGCACAGCCATATAGTAAATCCTATCTTCTGTAATCAAGGACAGTTAAGATTTCAATAGTTTAAACTTCTCCCCAACAGGAGGCTCTGGAGATAGATGGCAGAAATCCAATTAGTGCCACTGGCCAAACACACCCAAGGACAAAGGAAGTTACAGAATAAATTTCATTTTGGTACACCAGTGTAAAGCTGATGAATATTCTATTGAATCCTCCCAAGACTTCCTCTAAACTACCGGACTTTAAAAACCCTCATAATGAGGGTTCAGTGCACACTCTCCCTCCCAGGCACACCCTGTCCCTTCCCCTTCCCCCCTCTCCCTCTCCTTCCCCTACAAGCATACATCTCCTAAACCCTAAGGGACCCCACTAGGCTTGCAACCAAGGACTAATGGGCAGTGGCAGCTTATCCAGGGCTAACCCCCAGACCCTGTCCCCAAGGTCCCCTTTCTCTGACTTCCTAGTGAGCCAAAGCAGCCCAGTCCAGGCTCGTTTCCCCACTTAGTCCCTCTTCTGTTGCTTCTTCTATCCTAGGTCCTTCTCTGTTTCACTGTCCCCAACTTTAATAAACGTCCTCTAGAAATCACCTGGACTCCTGCTGTGCAATATTTCCTGCACAAGGAACCCACACACCAGCAGCCGACTCTAGGCAGACCCTCCGAAGGCCAGGTCCCCTTTCCTGCAACAATTTCACACATGGTTATGGAGCAAGGTATTTTGTTACAAGGTGCACACACACAGGGACCCATCCCTGCCCTTAAGGAGTTCCCAGTTTAGTGTAACTTCAACGTCAGTCTCCACAGGAATTTAGAGCACCCATCCCCAATCCCAGGTTATTCTTGGAAACATTTTAATATTAACGGCAAGTACCTCACCCAAGTCTTGTGATAGGAAAGCCCGCAGCAATAACAAAACTTCTTAGATAGGATAGTTTTTCAGTCGCAGGATTTATAACCCTTTTTAGGTAGTTTTAAAATGTGCGCCTGCCCCCCTCCCCCCAGACAAAACCAGCTAAAGGCTTAAAAATCCACTTAATAGTAAATTCTACATCAAAGTAACCTGTAGTCAGTGGTTCTCAACCTTGCCTGAAATTCAGAATCACCTATGTTGCTTCTAAAACTCCCAACAGCCAGCCTGCACCTCAGACCAATGAAATCGGAAGCCATGGGGGCAGAGCCCAGGCAGAGTTTTTTCAACTCTTCAGGTAATTCCAATGTGCAGCCAGGGGTGAGTAAATCACTCTGCCCTTGAAGTTCAAGGGAGAGGACCAGGATTCTCTTTGCTCAATGATATATATGCCCCTCTCACCATACACGGAGGCCACCTGCAGGTTTTCCAGATGCAGTTTCATGTTTCATGGATCTGGTTATAAACTCAAGCGTGGAAAACAATATTCTTCCACCTTGAGGACTGAGGACACGGGGAAGTTACGTTAGATTTAACCACTTACGGCTATCGCTAATTTGGCACCTGGGCCTGAACAGACTCAGGCTTAGATTGGGGGGGCGCAGGGACGCCCCTTTAGACGTCTTTCATCTAAATCTGCTAGGATCCTGCCTTCGGGAGCGGCGGCAAAGCAGCGAGCGTAGCACGGAGCTGGCATCCTACGGGCCCGGGCCTGGAGGAACCCAGTGCACTGAGAAGAAGGAGCGCAGGCGGTTCCCGGAGAAGCTTAGGGAAAGTGGGGCTGTGGATCGCAAAGCTGCAGCAGAGACAGAGGCGCGAGAAACGCCGGGAGGGACCGGTACTCACGCAAGTGCCGCCCAGCTTGTGGCTCTCCACCACCGCGACCCTGGCGCCCAGCTCGGCCGCCCTGCGCGCGCTAGCCAGCCCCCCGGAGCCTCCACCGATCACCAAGTAGTCGTAGGCCACGGCGCCGGCGGGGGGCGGGGGGCCGTGGGGCTGCGACTCCTGCCTTGTCGCCATTGCGCGAGCGACTGCGCAGGCCGCCTGGGGCCGAGGCAGCGGGAAGCCGGCGAAGGCGCGCGCCACCTGCCGCGAGCTCTGCCGCGCGCTGACTCGCAGGGTCCCCAGCGAGGCCATGCACGCGGAAGCACGCGCAGCGGGGCGGCCCCGGGGCGGGCCCCGGGGAAGGAGGGGGCGCGGGCTGCGGGCCGCGGGCAAGCACGGCCTCACCGTGATGACTAAGCAACTGGGGCGTGGCGGGATGGAGTGCTGAGCCCGGCAAGGGCCTCCGGGCAGGCCCCGGCTCCTTGAGACTTGGGTGGACTGGTGCCACGGGGCCACCCCAACTCCCAGCGCCACCCCTAGCTATTCTACCTGCGTGCAAGCCACCTTCCCTGCCCTACGTGAGGAGGTGAGGGTGGTGGAAGTAGTAGTAAATCACTGCGCCTTCGTAGTCACCGCACCTGGGTCCCGCACTGGAGTAACCACAAACAGATATGTTTTGAAGCCCGTGAGGCGAGGAAAGATGAACGCCCTCTATTATTTCATCCAGCCTTTGGAGAATTGCCCTCCATTATTTTGGAGGTTGATGTTTCTTGGATTTTTTTCGCAGCCCACGTGGAGTGTTGATTCCTAGGCTCTAACCCAGATCAATAAAATGGGAGCTTCGGACCACCGACCTAGCAGTCTACACTTTAAATCAGCAGTGCCTAATCTTTATGGCACCAGGGACCGATTTAGTGGAAGATAATTTTGGGGGGCAGTCAGAGGGGAGAAGATAGGACTGGGAACCCAGGTAATAAGGCTCAGCGCTCGCTTCCTGCTGTGCAATCCGTTCCTAACAGGCCATGGACAATACAAGTCCGCAAGGTTGGGGATCCCTGCTTTAAACAACAAACTCAAGAATTCTGGTCCAGATGGGGACATAGGTACTTCGCAAACCACATCAAAATTACAGCTAAACGTTAGGACAACCGGCATTTGGAACCATCAGAAATCGAGGTGAATGGAAGTCCCTACAACTATGGAGTTGAAGAAGAAGCCACATAAGGACTGGTGAAGGAGTGAAGCTGCAAATGCCACTGTGTGGTGGATAAAAATTGGGAGGGATTGCACAGAGGGTCCCAGCCCCACACCAGGCCCCCCCAGCCCAGAGTTCCAGTGCCTGTAAGAGAAGTTGCCATATTCTGGCTGTAAAAACCGGCAGGGATTGAGGCTGTAGAACTCAGACTTCTTGAGTCCCTGACAGTACCTCTTAAAGGGCCTGCACACAAATGTACTCAGGTTCACTCTTTCTGTGCTACAGTGTGAGAGCAGCAGATCAGAGGCACCAGAGACATAAGGGGAGGAACCAAGCTGTCCAACATCAGGGTGAGAGCTGGGGGTCAACTTTCTCCGGGACAAAAGTGCTGGCAGAGGCCACTGTCCTTTTTTGAGCCCTTCCCCCACAGAGCCGTAGAGCTGGCAAGTGGGCACTACATTTGAGACTCTATCAACCTGGGTCACACTGTCTGCCCCACCCTGGTGATTCCCTGAGGCCTTGCCCAACCCAACTTTCAGGCTCACACAAGCTGTTTCCAGTGGCTTTTCCGTACTAATAGCCTGTCTTGATCCATGCTTCAGATTTTCCTAAATTCTTTCAAACAAGCAGCATCTGGCTTCAGTGTGGTCTGTACCTCTCACTAAGTTGCCCCAGGCCCAGTACTAGCAGCAGCTGGCCTTGGTTCACAGCTTGACCTCACCTGGGCACCTCCAACCCCAGCACAAGTAGCAACCCTCTGCAGATCACTTTGTATCTTATGCTGTGTGACCCCAGGCAGAACAGGGGAGGTGGCTGACCTTGGACTTGCTGACTGCCACCTAGGCTCAACTACAACAGGAGGGTGTACACAGCCCACACAGTGGGCTTGAGTACACAGCTTGGGTGATAGGGGAGGCTGTGCCACTGGACCCTACAGGACACCTACTACCTTAAGCCACTGTCGAGCCTGGGAGATATAGTAACTCTACCTAATACATACAAACGAACGCAAAGGGGAAAATGGTAACTTTACAGTGGGCCACACGCCACCTTCTCCAAGTGATCAAAGTGAAGCACTGCCAGTAATGAGACAGTTGCCATTGTGTGCCTTATGACATGATGCAGCAAGAAGTGCACAGCTCGCTTATGTAGTATACCTGCTAAAAATCCACAACCTGAATCTAAGCATGAGGTAAAACTCAGAAAAACCCACAATGAGGGAAATTTTACAACTAGCCTGATCATTTAAATTCGCTTTTTTAAAAGATTTTATTTATTTATTTACAGAGAGAGAGAGGAAGGGAAGGAGAAAGAGGGAGAGAAATATCAGTGTGTGATTGCCTCTCATGCACCCCCTACTGGGGACCTGGTCTGCAACCCAGGCATGTGCCCTGACTGGGAATCGAACTCATGACACTTTGGTTCGCAGCCCTTACTCAATCCACTGAGCTATACCAGCCCAGGCTAACTAGCCTGATGACTTAAAAACTATCAATGCTAAAAACAAAGTAAGGCTGAGAAAATATTCCAGGTTAAAGACTGAAGAAATATGGTGACTAGAATTAAGGCTTGATCCTGGATAGAACTGGACTGGGACAATTGGTGAAATTTGAATTTGGCTTGTGTAATATATAATGGTACTACACTGATGTGAAATTTCCCGAGTTTGATCACTGCACTGTGGTTATGAAACAATATCCTTGTTCTTAAGAGACACACACTGAAGTATTTAGGAGTTGAGCTTGAGTCAGAGAAACTTGGATTCATATCACACCACAGGCACTGTCATAGTTACTTAACCTCCCTGAGTTTCAGCTTATTCATCTGTCAACAAGGAGGCTCACAAAAAGAAAATAAGCATGTCAAAGAAATAACTAGAATGGAGGAAATCAGCCAACACACACTGGAAGTAAGCAGAGCAGTGCGGACTGGCTAGACCATAGGCAGCTTGAAGAGGTTAATGGAAGATGGATTTTGGTAGTAACCAAGCACAAGTATTTAGACATTACTCCAAAGAAATAGTCACTGGAGATTTTTCAGAGGTGTATTTCCTTGGAAATACATCAAATGAACTGGAGACTGTGAAACTGGAAGTATAGGAAGCAAAAGTAACAGATAGAAGTATTGAGAACCCAGAAGGTACAGATTGGACAGACATAAAGAAGTGAAATTGACAGGCTGGGGGAGGGTACAAGAGGATGACAGATCTTGAACCAGGAAATCTGGGGGTAAAAATGACTCCATTAAGCAAACATAAAGAAGATAAAAGGATGCATAAGTCTGTGACTCAGCTAGTTTCAAAAGAAAACGGAACTTTTAATCACCCAGTTATATAACCCTATGTAGTGTGTTGAAACCAAAGGTTCATGCCATATTTGGACTAAATTATTTTATTACCAGGGGAGTGTTTTTCCTTTATGCTTCTGATTTATGTGGGGAGTAGGTAGCCATATCTCAAGTATTTGAAGACTTCTGATTATATCTAAATTTTCTCTTTTTTTGTCCATGGAAATTAATTTTTTAAATATTTTATTTATTTATCTTTTGAGGGGAAGGGAAGGAGAGAGGGAGAGAAATATCAATGTATGGTTGCCTCTCATGTGCTCCCTGTTGGGAACTGGTCTACAACCCAGGCATGTGCCCTTGCTGGGAATCAAACCGTGGTAGTTTGGTTTGGAGGCCCACGCTCCAACCACTGAGCTACACCAGCCAGGGCTAAATTTTCTCTTTAAGCAAAGAAATGTCAGCTAAAGTAAAATTTTAGTTAATGCAGTTAATAGAGGTGGTTTGGGGATGATAGTAAATGAGGAAAATAAAAATCATCCGAGTTACTGTTTAAGTGTGGCAGTTTTATGATATCATGGTAAATTAGCATGATTTGTGAGAAGAGCAGCGCCCCATACAATTATTTCACCTTTGAATAATTTCATTTTTAATCATCTATTTTATTATTTTTATTTTTAAAAAGATTTTATTTATTTATTTTTAGACAGAAGGGAAGGGCGAGAGAAAGAGGGGGATAGAAACATCAATGTGTGGTTGCTTCTCATGCACCCCCTACTGGGGATCTGACCTGCAACCTAGGCATGTGCCCTGACTGGGAATTGAACCAGCGACCCTTTGTTTCGCAGGCTGGTGGTCAGTCCACTAAGCCACACCAGCCAGGGCTAAAAACATATTTTAAAAGATTTTATTTATTTATTTTTGTAGAGGGGAAGGGAGGAGAGGGAGATATGTGAGAGAAAAGCATCAATTGGTTGCTTAAAATATCTCCCCCCAAAGCATATTTTGGGTTGGCAAACTGCTCCCTCTTCGTTGCTATGACCATTTATTTGCAACTTCTTAGGTGAATGTAGCTTTTATTTCTGAGGGATTAAGGTCCAAGACTGCAATTGTTGGGTCATATGATAAATGCATGTTTAATTATCTAAGAAAATGCCTTATTTTTCAGACTGGCTGTACCAGCTTATCTTGCAACCAGCAATGTATGAGTAATTCAGTTTTTCCACTTCCTTGCACACATTTGGTAGTGTTACCATATACTATTTTATAAGCCATATTTAGATATGATAACATTGAGGAACTTGGAATAATAGCTCCTAAATTAGAATCTCTGTGGAAAACGTCGATGTATACATGGAAAGTTCAATAACAATATAAGAATATTGTGGCATTCCAGATCACTGGGAAAAGCCCTGAGTGCTGTGAAGTCAGAGCCAGGAGAGGTCGCTGTGAACACTGAAGCTACTGTGGAGGCTTTGCCCAGTTTACAGTTTTAAATAATTTATATTCTTGGTCATGTATTTTAGCTTACATGCATAATGGATCACTGGATAAATATACAAAGCTAAAGGACATTTATACTTAAATACAAGTTAACAAGGAGATAAAATATTAATCTAAAAATTCACCATAAAATTTTTTCTACCAGATCACTAAGTTGCATTTATGGGATCAAAATTCTTATGGAGCACATCAAGATGTCTCTAAAAGTTGAGAAGTGAAAATTAAACTGTCTTTGCAATTTAAGTTTTAAGTTGTTGGGAATAAAGCCTAGGGAAGTACTTTCAAAAGTAGCCATCTTTCCCATTATTTAGGGAAAATACAAAAATAATTTCATAAACCTAAATATAAAAGCTAAAACAAAAAGCTTCAGAAAAAAATAGGAGAGTCCTTCAACTTCAGGGTAGGCAAACGTTTCTTAGAAAGCAATGACTATAAAAGAATATTTGACAAATTAATCTTCAAAATTAAACCCTTCTCATTTAAACATTAAGAAAATAAGTAGGTAAACTAAGATGGAGAGATTCACATATGAGTAGTATTGAGACTATGTAAAAAACTCCTACACCTCATTAATACAAAAGAGAAGCAGCCCTGAGTGGTGTGGATCAGTGGATTGAGTGCCCGCCTACAAACCAAAGGGTTACCAGTTAAGATTCTCAGTCGGGGCACATGCCTGGGTTGTGAGCCAGGTCCCCAGTAGGGGGCGCATGAGAGGCAACCGCACATTGATGTTTCTGTTCTATTTCTCCCTCCCTCCCCTCTCTAAAAAAACGAAGTCTTTTAAAACGATACAAAAGAGAAACAACACAGTTAAACACATCTGAGTGGATACTTCAAAATGAAGATTAAATGGTCAATAAGCACCCCAAAAAGTCCTCGATATTATTAGTGACCACAGAAACAAAGCTGCTGTGAGAAATCACAGCCCCTCTGCCAGTGAATGGATGCCGATGAATGTTGAGATTGTGCCCCCACGTTGTACCTTCACTTCCAGGATGCAGTTCTTGGCCTATATACAAAGCAAAGGCCTCCACGGTCCTAGCTCCACCCAACCCATAGGCACCTCCATTCAAACTCTGAACTGCAATATTTTAACTGTGGGTAGTTCCTCTGCATTGTTGTCTACACTTAAAACTGCCACTCTTCCTTGTGTGCCCCCACCCCCATTCCTAACCTTTACAACACAGTTTGGTCATGATTTCTTTTAGGAGAGCCTTCCCCCAAGCCCCGGTGTAGGGGTAGGATTCGGTACCACCCTGGAGTATCCCTATCATTGCATTTAGGCACTCAAGTTGTATTTATCTGTTTCCAGGGCTATCTTCCCCGCTAAACTGAGTTTCGTGAGAACAAATTCAGTAACTTACACTAATTTGAATCTCCACAGTACCAGGCAAACTGTGGGGCTCAAGAAATGTTTGTTGAATTAAATTGCAAGGTGAGGAGGGAGGACCGATGGATGGGTCAGAAACAAAAATTCAAAACATGAAATCTTGTTAAGCTGTGAGGACCTCCATAGTTTAACTTTCAGGTTGGCAGCAGAACCACACGGGTGAGTCATGTGATGGCAAAGAAGTGTCCGCCTAAGAAATGCCCAAACCTGTAAGGATTTTTATGAGCTTATTTGAGCCAAACTGCAAATTACCAGGAAGCAAAATCTCAACAGACTGAGAAAATGCTTGGGAAAATGGCAGTTTTTCCAGTTTTTTTCTACATCAAAATCGGAGGGGAAGATGTAAGGGCGTTACATGAAATTAACTGGTGATAGATTAGGGAGGTGGGAGAAAGCAAAACAGGGAAACCTCTGGGACTGTATGAAAACATAAAATGAATAGACACATACTTATTTTATGTAGGTGGGTACCGGATAGTTACCACTCAACAATTCACAGTATAAAAATAATGAGGGACTTTCTGGTCTCTCCTCTGGTGCGGTGGTTGAACTTTGAGGGGATCTTGAAAAAAGAATTACTCCGTTATTCCAAAGGCCTGTTATCAAGTACTTCATCCTACATGCATAAGGACGACAGGCTCAGGGGTAAGGTAAAAATTAACCTTTGTTAGGGAAAAATACTGTCCTAGGACATGACTACCCATCACGAACCGCTTTTAGTTATCAAGTTTTAATTTCAGACCACCCTATGTGGTTACTTTCTGTCTCTGAGTTTGTAAGGCTGTCATGCAGGCCACCCCGGAGCTTGTGAGGTTTAGTATGTGGTGCCGTTTTCGTCCGCAATCACAAAACTGTGAGGCCGAGTCATGAACAACTAACACCTGTTGGAAAACTGACAAGCAGCCGGTACAAAGGGTAGCAGTTCTCTAGGATCTGGAATTAGGTGCCAGCCCCCACGTTGAATCGTCTTTTTGCAGGCACCGAAGACTGTGGATGAGCCAGGAACCGTTAAAGAGATAAGGCAGGTGCTTCCGAAGGCAGTGGTGCTTAGCAGCTCGACCCAAAAGTCCACAATCACCCATTAACGACCCAAGAACAAGGGCCAGGCTGTCTACCCCCAGCGTCCACTGCGCGTACACGTTCTCTTCCACCTGATTCTACTCTCGAGAGCTCGCTGTCTCCAGCGCCCTAAGGCCGAAGGGCAGGCGCTGCTGGTCTCGTCTCCTGGGTCCCACCACGCGGGAGCTCAAGCTTCGCTTTCACAAGATTTGGCTTGGCGGGCGGCCCGAGCGGCCTTCGCCGGACACCGTGTGAAGTGCGGAGCTGACTGGTAACTCCTCTGCCAGAGTTCAAAATCCAATCTGAGAACCGACCCGCCTCCACGCTTTAGCGTTCCTGAATTCCCGCCTTCGGGATCGGTGCCCGGGACCGTCCTCGGGGAGGCGGGGCCGGAAAAGGAGGGCCTTCCTCCGCCATGGCATCTCCCGGGGTCGTTGGCATTTTCCTCCTCTCTGCGCTCCCCCTCTTGTGTCTGGAACTCCGGCGGGGAATCCCGGACCTAGGTAAGCGTTGACTTTTTCCTCTCGGCGCTCACACCCTGGTAACTCCGCTTACTGGGCTGCACGAGTACCGGCATTGACTACAACTCCCAGGCTGCATCGCGCCTGCGCTCGTCTTCCGGCGCGCTAGGGCCCCCCGGGAGCAAGTCCCCGGGGGCCGGGGAGGCGGAGTCCCCACTCGGCGAAAAAGCGTCCCTGCAGATCTGAAATTTCCCGTGTAAGGAGAGAAGACGCACAAAGCCCAGGGACAAACATAGACACCACTTTCAAGCTGTGTTGATATGCTCCAAAGGAAATAAACAGGGCGGCGGGATGTAGGCCTTCTGTGGATTCTATAAGCACTTTTCAGTAAGGCCCGAGGCAAGAACACTCCAGACAAAAGGAATTCTGACCTGTTGGAGGAAAAGGACCGGAGTGGCTGGGTCGGAAAGATTAAGGGGGTGGGTGGCTGAAGATAACATTCATTGAACATCTATTATAAGCCTACGACGAAATGCTTTTTATTCATTATCTCATTACATCCGTAGGCAGCGGTTACTGTTAAAATCACTCCCATTTACAGTTAAGGAAATTGAGATGTAGGGAGGTTAAATGGCTTAAGGTTTTAAAAAGGTCACTGGATTCACTGTGGAGAATGTTTAGGAAGGAAGCAATAGGGGAGGCAGTGAAGCAGGTGAGATTTTTAAAGTACGCAAGTAGTGATAGTGGCCCGGACAAGGATGGTAACCGACGTAATGTGCACAGACGTGGGATATTTACAAAGTACAACCACAGCACTTCTTGATGGATCGTTTAGGGTGAGGAAAATGAGGGACTCGAGGATGACTCCTACGTGTGGTCAGAATAACGCCGAGTAGTTGGTAGTGCCAAAAATAAGAACAATGAAAGGAAAATGGTGGACCTGTGGGGAGCCAGTTCAGTTCTCCCTCATTAAACTTAGTTCTAAAGTTAGAGACCCTGATGAAACTCAGTTTTACTATTTCCTGCCTCTCCACTCTCCCTCAGCCACCCCTAAGAAGTCAGGTCCCCAGAAATGTTGCTTGAAATAAATTAAAGTGCTTTTTGTTTTAGAGTTAAACAAAAAAAATGCTTTAGTCCTGACTGGTATGGCGCTGGGAATTGAGTGCCGTCCTGCGAACTTTGCTCGCAGGTTAGAGTCCCAGTCAGGGCACATGCCTGGTTTGGGGGCGAGGTCCTCAGTTGGTCCCTCCCTTACCCTAATTAATTTACACACACACACACACACACTAAAATAAAAAACAAAATGCTTAAAAAAAACTTTACAAAGAGCTTCTAGAAGCCTGATTCAATTCAAATGTGTTGGAATCTAACAAGACCTTTATCGAAATGACAAACAGAAATGTTAAATTCACATTTACCTATTACAGAACTCTGCTCCTTTCCCTTTAGAGCATCCATCTCTACTCTGCCCATTTGGAATCAAACAACACCAGAATCAATGGTTAATGCTGGCAAAAGCCTGAGGGCCATGATGCAAAAAAAAAAAAAAAATCTGGGAAGCCAGAATTTATGTATAGCTGATAGTCATAATATTTATAATGTAGGCAATAGAAACAAACGTATTTCTATTTGTATATGTAATTGCTTCTTTAATTTTTAGTTAATTCACTACCTACTGGCCCCATTCCATTGGTAAAATGGTTCCTCTATACCTCTGCCTGATAATATCTGAGACTTAAAAAACAAAATTAAAAATTCCTAAGGGGTAGAAACCATTTTTAGCCCAACTTCCTTATTTCACCATTTACCAAATTACAAAAAGTAGGCATTTGTTACATTTTTGTTGATATTTTATCTTGGTTCTTAAAATAATGTAGAACCAAATACTGATTTTTTTTTCTAGGCAAAAATGTAATTTTCTTTACGAAAGACTGAACTGAGAAATAAAGTACATAGTTCCATAATTTAACAGAAAAATAAATTCGTGTTTTGGTGGGAATGACTTTTTTTTTTTAAAGATTTTATTTTTAGAGGGGATGGGAGGGACAGGGAGAGAAACATCAGGTGTGTAGTGGCCTCTTGCGTGCCCCCTACTGGGGGCCTGGCCTGCAACGAAGGCATGTGCCCTAGACTGAGAATTTAACTGGTGATCCTTTGGTTTGCAGGCTGGCTTGGCACTCAAACCACTAAGCCACACCAGCCAGGGTGGAAATGACTTTTTTTTTTAAAAGATTTTATTTATTTATCTTTAGAGGGGAAGGGAAGGAGAGAGAGGGAAAGAAACATCAATGTATGGTTGCCTTTTGTGCATCCCCTGCTGGGAATTGGCCTGGGCTTGCAACCCAGGTACGTGCCCTGACTGGGAATCGAACCGCGATTGTCTGGCTCACAGGCCTGCGCTCAAACCACTGAGCCGTACACGCCAGCCAGGGCTGGGAATGACTTTTTAAATAGAACTAGAATTTGAAAAGATGATGCGGTCACCGTCATTTAATTCCTAAATATGTGGATAATTTTATCTCCTCTGGGCAAAAGGGAAACCAGAATTTATGTATTACTGATAGTCATAATATTTATAATGCAGGCAATCAGTTGAATTATGCCTATATTCCCGAGACAAAAGATATTCTAGAAGTGTTTTCTGGAAACTTGTTCTGGTATTGACAACCATGATGAATTTTGGTACCTAAAAGAGACTGTATGAAAAATCCTAAGACAGTTGCATACCTTAAACTTACTGTACTTTTCTAATACAAATAATCTTCTAAATGTGTTATTTATTATATCAATAAAATGTTTTTAATTTTATTTTTTTTACCTTTATAAGGAATTAAAGATATAATTTTGCTGTGTGGCCGGATTTTCTTACTGCTTGCTCTTCTTACTTTAATTATTTCTGTGACTACCTCATGGCTTAACTCGTTCAAATCTTCCCAAGTTTATCTGAAAGGTAAGATTATTATTTACCTACCCTTTTACACTTTTTTACTGCAACCTGTTTCCTTGACTTATACTGGAACTTTGCACGATGAGAACCGTTTTACCCTTTACTTGTGCAGTGTAATTTCAAGGTAATCATTACAACTTCAGTCATGATTTTTAATGGGCTGTATATCCCAACATTTTTATGAGAAATCATACCTTTTCCTTATATAAGTATAAAGAAACTATATAATTTGTAAGTTGGCATGTTGGAAATTCTCATTTTTAATTGTGTTTTTGTGCAGCTTAACTGCTATTTGAGAGTTACAGCTTATAAACTATGCTGCAAATGTTAACAATATCCACCACTAATCTCTAAATGCTTTTCATCCTAAATTATTTTTCATTCCATTCTGGCATGTTTTTATTTGCACACTTCTCTCTCACATATACGTAGTTAGGTGCTCTTATTTTTAGGAAACCATACTTGTTTTTAGCTTAGTTTTGTTTTTTTGACAAGTGAAAATTGTACTAGAAGCCTTTTATCTGCTAGTAATTTTTGCAGACTTTGGCACAATTCTACATTTGTGTTCAACTTTTCTATCATGGTGCCAATGCTTGTACAAGATTATTCCGCTACCACTCTGAATGCTAGCTTAGACTCAACAGTGTTCACAAAGTCGGCCAAGTCCACCACCTGCACAAGGCATCACAGGGCCTGTCAGAGATGAGCTGGGCCTGGCACCCGGGCAGTGTGGAACACGTACGTGCCACTGCAAGTCCCTCCTTCCCAAGGTGTGCCCTTGTGCGTTACAGAGTCGTTCTGGGGCAGGATTAGAAGCCTTTAAAAACAATATTGTAGTTCACCTCAACATATGCCTAAAACTCATGCCTACATTCTTGTAGCCTATTAGAAAGTTTGCCAATAGTGAATTTGGGGCCTTGTGTTTTGTTTTATTTAAATGTAAATAAATATAAAAGGAAAATGATTAGCATTTAATTTGTAGCCCTTTCAGATTACCTATGAATAAAATCAGAATCCTAAAACTTTACACTATTCAACTATAGGAGACATGTAGATGCTTTAGTATCTCCCAGTCATAGATTTTGGAAATCAATGTTTCTCCTTTTGACAAATTTTTCAATCACTCATATTTCAAATTACTCTATTGGAGAATTAAAATAACTGATTATAACTTCTCTAAGAAACACATTTTGTACTAAATGTTCTAAACATATTTCGGTGTCAGGAGAATATTTGCTGCTGGTGTGAAACTATTGGGTCAAGTACTGTATGTTTTATACATAAGGGGGAACACACACCTGACAGCTTCGTACCTTAACTGTACCTTTTCGTTGCCAGGAGTGGAAGTCATTTTGATACATTTTTTGTTGGCAATTTTGAGACATAATCATCACTGAAGGCTGAAACGAATTAGTAATTAAGATTGTGTACAGGGCCTAGTTACTGTCAGATTTTCTTCAAATAAGTAAAAATCAGCCTGCCCACCCACTGTCTATTTCTCCTGCTGTCACAAGCCCATCACAAGCATCCTTGAAGCCTCCCCACCGGAGCTATAACATGTCATACTAATGGGTTACAGTTCTTGTTTCAGAACGGACCGTTTCTTACTCATTTTACTTACAGATTTCTTAGTTTCAACTGTCTTTATGTATCCATTTTCATTATTTAAAAAATACCTGTTTTTTGAAGAGTTGTTTCTCAAAAAAATGTTAAGATCCACAGTTTGTTTTCAGAGAAAACAGCACTCAGTTTCTGGAGAACTGGGAATTGAAAACACTTTTATGTTTTGATGTCTTAGAAGAAGAAGAGGAGAATGAGAAAAGGCAAAAGCTTGCAAGAAAAAAACAACAGGAGGCACAGGGTGAAAAGGTAAAGCACAGTTCCCAGTGAATGTATCTGGAAAGAACACAAAGATACCTGCAGCACTTACAATTTAGGTCTCTTGTTCTGTCCGTGCTCAGATTTTTAAAAAAATTACTGAAGTTGAATTCACATGACAAAAAGTTAACTATTAATATTTTAAAGTGTACAGTCAGAACAAGACTGGCATTTAGAGCAGCATTCACAACGTTCTGCAATGACTACTTCTACCTAGTTCCAAAACATTTTCTTCACCTCAAAATAAAACCCCACACTTTGGCCAGAACATACAGGCACCTGCTCTGTGTTCTCAAGGCCTTTAGAAAACACGGAATGTTTTGTTCCTTTGGCAGAATACATGCAAATCTACGAGAAAGGTGATATTGTAGACATCAAGGGAATGGGCACTTCTAGGGGCCCCACAGATGTTTCCAAGGCAAACTGGAAGAGTCTACAGTGTCACCCAGCGTGCGGTGGGCACTGTTGGGTAGGGTTCCAGCCCAGAGAATTCATGCATGTGTTTAGCGTATTAACCACTCTAGGAGCTGAAATAGCTTCCTGAAACGTGTGAAGGACAATGATCAGAAAAAGAAGGAAGCCAAAGAGAAAGGTACGCAGGTCCCACTGAGGCACCAACCTGCTCCACCCAGAGAAGCGCACTTCGCGAGAACCGCAGGGAAGGAGGCTGCGCTGCTGGAACCCATTCCCTGTGCATTCATGGCTTGAGTGTAAAAAAACATGAAGAATAAAACCCCATGCCCATTAAAGTTACTTTCTCATTCCCTCCCTCCTTCCACCCTTTGGCAACCACCAATCTGCTTTCTGTTCGTATGGATTTATTTAGTCAGGACACTTCACATGAATGGGATCATATTACATGTCCTTTTGCGTCTGACTTCTTGTACTTAACATAATATTTTCTGGGGTTCATCCTTATGGCATGTATCAGTACTTCACTCCTTTTTGTGGCTAATATTCTGTTGCACGGGAACTATCAAAATTTGATTATCCATTCATTTGCTGCTAGACATTTAGGTTGTTTCCAGCTTTTGAAGGCTGGGGCTCAGTAAGTTTTTGTGGCACTGAGAACACATTAAAGGATATAGAGGCAGATGGCCAGACAACCGTAAGTGTAGAGTATTTGTTTTTATTTGCATTATCCACACGCAGATTTTTAGGAGTGACTGATGGAGAAGTGGAGGATGCTGCTTTTTTGGCAAAACTGAGTTAAGTGTGAAAAGACAATTTTTAAAAGACTTTATTTATCTTTAGAGGGGAAGGGAAGGAGAGAGGGAGAGAAATATTAATGTATGGTTGCCTCTCGTGGGTCCTCTCGTGGGTCCCCTGCTGGGAACTGGCCTGCAACCCAGGCATGTGCCCCGACTGGGAATCTAACTGCGATCCTCTGGTTCGCAGGCCCGAGCTCTATCCACTGAGCTACACCAGCCAGGACTAAAAGACAATTTCTTATCTGGTTCTTGATGATAACTATATAGACAATGCAAAATCTTAGGAATGTTAATGAATAGTAATAACACTTAATTTATTTTTTTGGACAGGCCAGCAGATACATAGAGAATGTTCTAAAACCTCACCAAGAAATGAAATTGAAAAAACTGGAAGAGCGCTTTTATCGAATGACGGGGGAAACCTGGAAGTTAAGCAATGGTCATAAACTTGGGGTTAGACAATATTCCATTTTTCGTTTTGAATATTGATTTTTTTAAATGGCAACTGATGTTAAACTGTTAATTCAGGCGTTTTAGGAATCTTTATTAATGATTGTATATCAACTTTTATTCAGCACATTTGCGTGTCCAATGGTTAAGTGCCTGGGAACATAAAACCTAAGAGCCTTGAAAAGTTTTAACATGAGGTAATCTTTAAGAAAACTGTTGACTCTAACACTGTGTATTGTATGAGGGAATTCAGATTTTTCCCCAAGAAAGATCTCCAAGATATAAGCTCACATTATATTTATTTCCTTTGGCTGTTTTTATAAAGCCCAATCAACCTCTGACTCTTTTCCTTTGGCCTTGAGTATGAATTTTGTCATTTGCTAATGGAAGTTTACAGTTCTGTTTTCTTAAAGAGGGAAAAGGATATGCATAAAGGAACTGAGTTTTAGAATAACGGGCCGTAGATTTTAGATGTAAGATTATTTCTGCCCCAAAGACTCACTTGCTTTCTGTTTCTACTGCACCTTTCACCAGCTTGTAACAAAAATGATTCAGTAAAAGGTGAACGGGATCCCTGCAGTGAAGCAGAATGTTTTTATTCATTTCATAATGATAAACATGTCATGAAACAATCAAGGGGGTAATAAAGTCAGTGTGAAAGATGGACAATAAAAATGCATCTGCTCTATGTAGTGATTTCACTTCTGAATCGAAGTTGTCTTCAGTTTTGTGGTGATAGCCTGATTTTAGCCTACCTTGTCTCCTGAAACGGTCACAGCGTGAATTAGTCACTTTGCCCCTTGCATTTAGGCTGTGTCTTCATGGTACTACTAATATTTTTTGGCCAAAAAGTCTGTTATGTTTTCTCTAAAATAAAAGACACATTTTTCATTTTCACCAATGACTACTGATTTGGATATTTTGGGTAGGTTGGCTATCTCCCACCATTGGTTTCTAGAGGGCAAAGGCCCAGGGTGCTGCTAAACATCTTCCAATGCATAAGACAGCCCCACAGCAAAGAGTTATTTGGCCAAAATGTCAGTAGTACCAAGAAACTTTGCAAATCACATTTGACATGTTCCATCAGTCAGCACCTTCTCCATACATTGCACAAATCTTTCTTTGCATTTGAGTCACACTGAAATAATAAAGCGTAATACGCCAAAAATGTTGTGTATTTTCTTCCATCTTCAATATTAAAGTGGCTGAACAAAATTCACCCATTTTGGTAAATTCTTTTTAAACTCACACTGATGTGACAGCTGTCACCATACAGTCTAACAAAATTGTTTCCAATGACATTAAAGACAACTAAGCACCTACTTGGAGCTGTCATACAGAAAAAATACAACGGCCTTTTTGGCCAACCCAATATTAGTAGTACCAGGAAGACACAGCCTAATGCAACAGGCAAAATGACTGATTCACGCGGTGACTGTTTTTAACCTAGGTAGTAGGGACAACAAAAAGTTGGACAGGGTAGACCTTTGGTGTTACAACTGAAGGCTCCTAGGACTATCAACATGAGAACTGGAGAGTTAGAGCTGAAATCAGGTGTATCTGTCAGCTGATCCAGCCCCATAATTTGCAGTGAAGCAGTTAAGTCTGGTAACTTCACTGTTCAGCATCACAACCTTGGGACTTCCATTCCCCACGCTCCTTCCACCAACTTCTGTTAGGGTAAAGGAAGGGGGAAAACTACCCACCAAAACGATGTCCATGTTAGTCTGATAGAGAACTTTTAGAAGGTCAGCAGATATGGAAGAAAGCCATTTGTGAACTATTAAGTTTATATTTGAGAATTTGACACTTAAGTATCTTGCTAAGGAAGAAGGTTTAAAAATATTAGTAAAAATCTTTGATTTCTGGAATAAAATCCTTTGCCTCCTAAAGTTGTTAATTCAAATGCAAGCTCCAAGTTTGAATTTGAGAACGAGGATATGATTATATGGAACAAGATACTATGGCTGCATTCAGCTACAGAAGTTTTACATGGTCATATACCAGGACCTGTTTTTACATATATGTTCTATTTTCACAGCTTTTAAGGCTTAATTCCTTGCACTGCCTTACTTCCTTTCCTGGAAAGAGTAAAGGATATTATCCAGGTTGTCTTCTTTCTTCCATCTTTCTGAAAAACTTGGGGTCAATTAAAATGGAAAGGTCTCTTTTAGCCTTGTATCTATCAGAGAACCCCAGAGCAGGGTAAGGGTAGTATCTACAAGATGTTAAGCTCCATGTTTTACTTTCTAAGGAGATAATGTTTTAATTTGTAGGGTCTTATAATAGCTTTACATTATATTTTTTACTGAGATTCCGTCAGGATAAAAGAAGTAATTATTGTGAATAAAGTTGATAGAAAGCATCTCTCTTGAAATTATGTTGTTCTTGACTAGGGTGATGAAGATTCAGTGCTTGAAAATGAGAGTCAGACATCTCTTGAAACATCCAACAGAAAAGCAGCGAAGAGACGGAAATTGCCTAAGCCTTCAACCAAAGTTTCACCACCTGGCGAACAGCCGGAGGAGGTTGGTTACTTCGTGCCGGCTCACTGCACAGCATCGCTGTGCAGCGGGAATACCCTGGGGGGACGAGGCGGTGCAGAGTGAAGGAGGACCGGCTTCTAATCTGGGTCATGTCTTCCCTCTACCTTACAAGTGATCACCTTCACTGAGCACTTTTCCTGCTTACTCTTCATGTTCTGAACCAAACTCAGGAGGCTATGAAGATAAATGATAGTAAATTTAGAAAATAGTTAAGTTCTTTATGAGGAAGTAATTTGATTACGTAGAAATAAAAACTGTAGTCTTTCCTAAGGAAACATTCCTGTGGGTAGCTGTAAGCCCTTCTTAGTGAGTGGCTAGTGTTCACGTGTCTCATTTTCCTCATGACCCTTCTAGGCAGTGTGTTAGTGACCATTCACTTTGGCACGGTGCCCAGGTTTATTATTCCTTCTTCCCTTTCAAATTTTTAATCCTTAAGTTAAATTTAAAGCTAGCAAAGGTTAGAAATAAGAAGGTTGTTTTACTGACTCTTAGGGAAAGCTGGTAGTTATCTTCCCAGTCCTTGAAAGAGGTTTCTAATGTATGCTTCTCAGTCGGGTTGCCTGGTCCCTTCCAGGGGCCTGCGGGTGAGAATTTGGTCGTTCAAACTATTTCTAATATTTCAAAAAGGTCTAATGAACTCTATGGACTAATTAAAAAATCAAGAGTCTTTTCTGTTTGTTAATAGCAAAGATTATTTCATGCTGATAGTAAATTTTAGTGGACTAAAACATGCTTTTGATACCAAAGGAAAATAGATGGTTTATTTAATAAATAAATACAATTACTGTTTGCTAGATAAAATGTTATAAAACATGGCACTGGTTGATGTGGCTCAGTGGTTAAGTGGTTGCCAGTTCAATTCCCAGTCAGGGCACACGCTTGGGTTGTGGGCCAGGTCCCCAGTCGGGGGGCGTGGGAGAGGCAACCACACACTGATGTTTCTCTACCTCTTTCTCCGTTCCCCTCTCTGAAAAATAAATAAAATCTTAAAAAACAATGTTTTAAACATGGAGTCTATAGTATTAAAAAATAAAAAGTGTCCCTAGAGGTGAAATTATTGGTAACAAGTATTTCAGTAAGAGAAAAGTTTTGGACATCTGGTTTTTAATAGATTAACAGACATGGAGAAGCAATGAGTAAATCAGGAAAGCTACCAAAGTTGTTAACCAGTCCTGTGAGAGCCATGAATAAAAATATGTAGCCCTCTTAAAATGTATGTATGTATGAACCTAAATAATTTTCAGGTCTTACTGGACTTAATAATTACCCTGTTTCTTTAAACAGTACATTTTAGCCCTGGCTGGGGTAGCTCAGTGGATTGAGCACAGGCCTGTGAAGCAAAAGGTCGCCGGTTCAGTTCCCAGTCAGGGCACTTGCCTGGGTTGCAGGCCACGTCCCCAGTAGGGGACATGTGAGAGGCAACCACACACTGATGTTTCTCTCCCACTCTTTCTCCTTCCCTTCCCCTTTCTCTAAATAAATAAGTAAAAAAAAAAAATATATATATATATATATATTTAAAGTACCTTTTATATAGTATCTTGGAATGTCATTAAAACAAAATTACTTATATGTGTATAGATTGATACCTGTCATCTAAAATCTTATTTTTATGATCTTTTGTTAGCACATAGTTGCTTACCCAGAAATGTTTATTAATTGAGCTCATTCTCATTGTCAACTTACATGGGTGTATGAAGTGAAGATTTCATCAAACTTAGGTGTATCTAATATCTGTATTGAAAGGAACTCTTCTCGTTGAGATTACTTTTTTTTTAAAGATTTCATTTATTTATTTTTAGAGAGAGGGGAAAAGAGGGAGAGAAACATCAGTGTGTGGTTGCCTCTCATGTGTCCCCTACTGGGGACCTGGCCTGCAAGCCAGGCATGAGCCCTGACTGGGAATTGAACCAGCGACCCTTAGGTTCGCAGGCTGGCACTGAGTCTGCTGAGCCACACCAGCCAGGGTAGGATTACTTTTTTGTCTTCAAAATGTTTATATTCCTATTACTAATACTTACGATTCTTTAGGTTCCAGGTTTACCGGAAGAACCTCCTGAAACAGCTGAAGAAGTAAGCTTACTTTCTTTTTTTGAGAATTAAATGTATCTTGTTTCCTTTAGCATCACGTATGTTCATCTAAATTTGGGTCTGAGAGCAAGGATAGCGTAAGTGTTTATATAATTGCACTGTAATTAGGTCTTGTTTTGAATGTGCTGTAATACCCAACCCCTTGGTTCAAGGCCTGTTTTGGAAGCCTGGTGTCTACTGAGTGCATTTTCAGAGCTTGGAGCCTTCCCGCTGCATCAGGCAGGGACGGAATACATGGGCTTTTCAATAGAATTGCACACCCAAAACCTACATAATTTTATTAACCAAAGTCACCCCAATGAATTCATCCAAAAAACCCAAAAAAGAATACATAAGCCTTTCCAAAAGTTCAGGTGAGCAAGTGAGTTACTTATTATTTTTTAAGATTTCACTTATTTATCTTTAGAGGGAAAGGGAAGGAGAGAGGGAGAGAAATATCAATGTACAGTTGCCTCTCTTGCGTCCCCTGCTGGGAACTGGCCTGCAACCCAGGCATGTGCCCTGACTGGGAATCAAACCTCGATCCTGTGGTTCGCAAGCCTGCACTCAATCCACTGAGCTACACCAGCTAGGGCAGAGTTACTTATTATCGATCAATCAGGATCAACACAGGCAGATGACTTCAAATTGCAGTTTTCCTGTTAAGAAAAGAGAAAAGGAGAACGCAGCCACCTTGTCAATGATTGAATGCAAGGATGCTCTGCTGACTGGTGGGCAGGGTCAGAGTGAACCCCACTGTGCGCTGAGCTGCTTTCTGCCCGGCTGCCTCATTACAATCTGTGCTGCCTTCCCGCCCTTGTCCCACTTGGTTTTAGACACATCTCCAGAGGACGGGTGGACATACTTGAAAGCCATCAGGTTGCTTAGGCAAAGGAGAGCCCTGACGGTTTTGTGTCATGTGGGATCAGTGACTACACTGAGTACTTAACCGTCCTTGAGACGGCCGTGAAAGTCATAGGAGCGTCTCGTTTTTGTCAACACATCTGCAACGTACGTTTAGCACTTTGGACATCAGAGGAAAATCTGAAAGTCTTACTGAAAGAGATAATAAAGGGTGTAGTGCAGGAGAAACACCATTTTTTTTAAAAACTTCTAATTCCTCATTATATGCAATAAATTTATGCCTACGATATAGCCCTCCTGACACTTCTACATTCTTCTTGTCAAGCTCTGGTTTGGTTTTTATGACAACAATTCCTAATACAGGAGTATTTAAACACAGCTCCGGTTTGACAGGGAACCCCTTTGATGAATTTACTCTGGCTTTAAAACAGGACATTCCACAAAACAGCAATTTGTCTGTTGTAATCCAAAGATACACGGGTTACAGACCTTAGGTTGTCAGTGAATTCTGTTCGTTTATGTCTTTTTGTGATTGTGTGTGAAAGGGTGGTGTTTTTCTTCACCGTCTCAGATCTGTGACCCTACAAACGCTGAGCCACCTCTGCCACAGAGGCTGTTGACGGTGCTCTCCTCTCCACTGTTTACCGTCGTTCCGTTTAGTTTTCTCGGCCCTTCTCCAATACCTGTGAGGTGGTATTTTGTGAGGCACTCATTAGAGTGTAAGTCAGAGTAGTGGAATTTCAGAGCTGGAACGAACCTAAGTAACTCATCCCGTCTCACTTGAATGAACCTGCAGCCTCAGGTAGGAAGTTTCTGAGGTGTCTCCTGGGACAACCGAGGCCTCCTGGGGGCTGCGCATGCACACAAGATTTCAGGATACCTAATAAATAATGTGTTGCAAGTGACATAGTCATGTTGTTTCTGGCTTTCTGAAAAAACACTGTGTCCTGTTTTGTCAACTGAACAGCTCGGCTCTGGTATTATAATCACTGTGTATCGCATTACGTAATCATGACAGGTCACCATATGGAAAGCCTGACCCTGTTAAAACGAGTATATTTTAGCCCTGGCTGTGTGGCTTGGTGAGGGCATCACTCTGCACCGTGAAAGGCTGCCGGCTCGAGGCCCAGTCGGGGCGCACGCCTAGGCTGCAGTTTGATCCCTGGTTGGGTTCGCACGGGAGGCAGCCAGTCGGTGTTGTCCTCTCACATCGACGATTCTCTCTCTTTCTAAGCCAATGGAAATGTGTGCTTGGGTGAGAAATAAAAAATTGATTAAAAAAAAAACACCCAAGTATATTTTAGCCTTGACTGAGTAGCTCAGTTAGTTAGAGCATGGTCCTGATATGCCACGGTTGTGGGTTCGATCCCAAGTCAGGGTGCATACAAGCAGGAGCCACTGAATGGATAAATACGTGGAACAACAAATCAATGTTTCTCGTCCCCTCACTCTATAAAATCAATTTTTAAAAAAGAAAACTTTAAAAACAAGTATATTTTAATCCCTAAGTTGTATAACTGTCTTGTAAGTACTTATGTAAAAATGTAATTTCACTTTTGGGAATACTGGAAATTACAATTTTCAGGAAATTCTCTCTTTCCTTAGTAAAGTCAGGCCCATTAAATGTCTGGTGTCGCCCACAGAATGGAGGGCCGTTTTTATACTCCTCTATCGCTAGGGAAAGGGATTACCATTCATTCTAAAGGTTATCAGAACCAGGGGAAGCTTTCACTGTGTGTATATTTCTGTACATACAACTGTGAGTCTATAATACTGAGCTGTATGAGAAAATCCTCGTTAGAGTGGAAACTCGCTTGGACTTAGGAGCCGCCTAATAGATGAGGGAACTACTGGCTAACATGGATTTCTGATGAGGGAGGGAGGGGTGTGAAACGTAATTGACGCAATTCTTCCTTAAGCAGAACACCTTGACTTTCAGTGCCTGTTACGTATTTGGTCTTACAACTATCCCTAGAGTTCTAAAATAATATGGTAAGACTTAAAAATGAGAGGAGGAAATAATTCATGGTGGTCTAGAATTCACAACAGAATATTTACCATGTGTTACTGTTCTACTTTTAATTGAAAAGATAGTAACTGTAGAATTTAAGAAAATTTGAAATTTATAAATCACCATATAATGTTACCATATTACCACAGTAACTATTTTCACTCTCGTATGCTGTCTTACTTCATTTTCAAGAGTACCTGGAAACCAGACATTCATTATTGCTGCTCCTTTTACTTCAGATGTCATTGAACAGTCTGTTTGTCACAGTGACTTACTTTTCAGTTCTGGACAGTGCCCCAGGCCCCTTCCCCATCCATCAGTCAGTCTGTTACACTGTCAGTAACACGAAGAGAAACTGCACGACCAACTTTCACGGTCCCTGCAATAACAGAACAACTGCTAGATTTCAAATTATGATAGTCTGTTTCCCTCAAGTTTCATTTAATTATAATGGAAAACATGAATGCACTGTATTTTAACCCTAGTTTCTCATAAAGCATTTGGCTTTAATTCTCCTATAAAATCACTATTTGAAAAAAAATCACTGAAAAAGTTAGATTTTACTTCTAAAAATAGGCAGAATTGGCCTTCAATCTGTGATTCAGTCATTTCGTATCTGTTTTATTATAAAACTTTGGTAGAAGTAGTAACAGCTCAGGTCGTCTGGATGTGAGTCAGGTCCCTCCCCTACTTGGATGGAAGTATCTTCTGACGCTGCTGTGAATTCTATGTGCTGTTCTCACATTAACTCCCAGGGGTATGATGATGGGACCGTAAGAAAGGGTTTCCTGACACGTAAATAATGAACATCAGAAGAAATGACCAGTTCATTATACTTTCTTTTTAGAATGTCCATCAATATGCTAGCAGCTATTTTTCGCTGTCAAACCTTCAGCTTTATCGAAGGAAAGATGATGGGGAAACGCAACACGCACGGCAGACAAAGTGGGGCTGCTCCCACTGGACTCGAGGCCGCCTCCCACCGGCCTGCACGACAGGGGCCTGTAGTCCGAGCGGGCTGCGTAACTGTTTCCCTCCAATCTCGCCTTTCTCATCTCCAGACTGAGATGGCACTGGATCTGCTTGGTTTGGTGGGTCGGTTGTGAGGCCCACCTGCGATCCGGATGTGCGCCTCACAGGCAGCACTGTGCAGCCTCGCGCGTCCTCTCTCGAAGGCTGTCACTGGTCTCAACCAATAGGAAGACGGTTTTGTTTCAAAATTATTTCTATGATTAGAGTGAATTTTATCCAGATCTAATTTATGTTGGTCTACTCTCTCAGAGCTAAATTCCTACAAAACCTCATGTGAGTTTTATAACGGCAGATGTTGTAATTTTGGAATCGCAAAGAGCAACGCACTGGAATTCTTATCCGAACATTCTCATTGCCCAGGCAGTTACTGTTGCTCTCCGGTGTCCGAGTGGGAGGGTCCTGAGGAGGAGGTTTTTGAAGTCTTGCAGTTCACAGGTGAGGACATGCCTATTTTATATTGACTTTGGCAATAGTTTATTCCCACGCAGTGCGAGAGGTGTTCTCACGTCCTCGTCTGGTCTCTCAGCACTTGCACGTGCTCCATGTTGAGAGTAAAGGGAATTTCTGTGCGTTCTGTGCTGCAGAGATTTAGGCTGTTAGGTATGTCAGGTCTTTTGAACCGTGATTCCTGCAAATTTTCTTGTTCTTCCCATTTTTTATTGATTGATTGTCATCACATTTTCACAGCTTGGTGGGTAAGGTGCTTTCAAAGCAGCTGGTATTAACTCTGTTCCATTACCCACTAGTTCTTGCATGGTTATGATGTAGCTTAGATTATGATCTAAATCATTTTTATCCAAAATGTTAACCATTTGTTTTCAATCATTTTATTGCATAATCTTCCCATTCCGCGAGGCTGGGACTTTGCTGATTGTTAAACACCTCTGCTGACTGTGGGTGCCAGTAGTCCCTGGGCCTTACAACTATGTTTCTTACCTTTTAGGCTCTATTTGACTGGATGCTGAAGATTGGGTACCACACCTCCCTGTACAGCCTTTCCACGTCCTTTCCCAGAAGGCCTCTGGAAGTGGAGGGAGGCCTTCACTGCAGGACACTGCAGGACGTAGGAATAACTGTGGATACCATACTCAATGTGGAAGAAAAAGAGCCAAGCAACTAGAAATGAGAACTGTCTGTCCTACATAAAATCACTTATGTGACAACCTTAAGGATTCACATTAAAATCACGCCAGTAACACTGATGTTGATGTCCATGAGAATATAAGGACTACTCTCTGCACATAATTATTTTTGGAATGTCACTTTATAATGTACCGCAGGGACCCTGACTAGGTAAGCTGTTGGTCAGAGCATCATCCTGGTACACCAAGGCTGTGGGCTTGATCCCCAGTCCGGGCACATAGAAGAATCAGCCAATGAATGCATAAATAAGTGGAACAACAGACTGATTTCTCTCTCTGTCCCTCCCCGTTCTGCCCTCTAAAAAAGTAAGTAAGAACCAGAAAAACGAAGCCTATGACTTTAGTTTCTGCCTCATCAATTCATCTTAATCACACTATAAATATTTTACAATTCAGTGAAACTCTTCAAGGTCTTTTAAGTTGGAATGTTTACTCTGCTGTCTTTCTAGAAGTGAAGAACTTTGGAAGAATATTCAAAGCCCTTTACAGCTTTAAAGTTCTTTTATTAGGTATGGATTAATCTTCACTTATGTCTGGGATTTATGTACCTTTGCCCTATAATGCAGTATTAAAAGGCTGTGAACTTTGTTCTGGTCACTCCCCTTTTCTTCCCCTATGCTCTGTCTGAGGAGTCAGTCAGCCCGACTCCTCAGTCTGTGGCCCTTTAATGCTCCTTTACCTCTTCTGTGGAATGACACTGTGTTCTAGCTGTTTTGTTCTCCCAAACACATAATTCTTTAAAAGCAAGGACTATATCTTTTATCTTCCAGAGGTATCTAGTATATAGCAGATTCTTAATACATGTTTGAAAATGAGTAGTAACTTGTCTCAATTTTTAATTTTATTTCTGGGATATCCTATGTAAACAATCTTTTTCTAATTACAAAAGTATTTCAAAACCACAAAGCACAAAAGCACATTACCCATAATCTCAATATCCAGGCATAAATATGGCGAAGATGCCTGCTTCCTGTATGTTCTGCCAGGCTGTTCTAAGCTTATGTGCCACAGGTTAAAAAAAAACAAAGACCCCACACTTTAGATCCTTTGGGAAAATTGATTACTGTGAAAGCTACCCAGTAATTATCTACTTAGGACATGAGCAAGCAGCCCCTGAGGTGGCTCTAGTGACCTGCGCCTCCTTGTGGTGGCACCTTAGTGGAGTCCTCTCCCACATGATACTGGGGCTGGTCTGTGGCACCAACAGAACTCACAGAAGTGGGGTGTGTGTCACTTCTGCGACTGGACTGAAGGGGACTGTTGTAACTGCTGTCTTGGTGCTCTTTCAGGTCACTCACTCACCCAACACGGCAGGGGTCGGGGCAGCCCTGTGCCAGGAACTAAACAGCAACACGAGGAGGTGGGGGGCTGGGCCTCGGCCCCAGTTCAGTCTGCCGGCTGGGCATCAACTTCTTTCTTCATCAACATTGATATGAAACATTATTTAAGAATCCGCAGTCATGGTATGTCTCTTTAGATTATAAAGGACTGCCACTTCTATTGCTCTTCTCTGTCCCATCAATTACTCTGATGGAGACCCTGTGGTAGCAGCTCAGCAGAGAGGACCATGAGTCAAGGAACTGAAGCCTCTTGCCTACAGAAAGCTTGGACTTATCCTCCAGCACCAATCAGACCCTGGGATCACAGGCCTGGCGACACTGTGCCTGCAGCTGAATGTGGGCCCTTGAGCCAGAACCACCAGCTGAGCTGCTCCTGGATTCCTGACCCATGGAAACCATGGGAGGAAGTAAATGTTTTGGGCTAAAATGTGTGAGGAAATCTGCTATGTGGCAATAACACATAGAACTTTCAGGGCATTTTCCCCAACAATGTGAAGATGTCCTTAGGAATGACTTACTTTTCTGGGTAAGTCCTTTGGTTTCTCTAGCTGTTAATAGCTCCTAGGATTCCTTTCAAAGGTTCAGTAAGCTCCCATGATTAGTCTTTGGAACAGACTCAAATACAAATACAAGAGAAATACTTTCATATTTACCTTCTGATCAGACTTTCACAGGTCCTATATTCAGCTGTTCATCCACATCTGTTTCCAAGGCTACTGACTACAGAAAATAAGTACCATTAAAAATTTTCTTTTAAAAAGCCAAAATTTCAATAATTAACAAATGGCTCCTAAAATTTGTGGGATAAAGGTTCTTCCCTCCTCCCAATTTCCAATCCTAAAATCATCGGGGCCATTTCTTTGTGGGCCAATACATTTCCCTTAAAGGCAGAAAAAGCACCATCAATTGAGTGTACAACTGGAAGCCATAAATAGAGATGATCAATTGTTCCATGGGCTGCAAAAGCTAATTCTTCCTCTGAGTTTACAGATGCCTTCAATTTTTAGATTCTTGGTGACTAATTAGTCATTTTTCCTAGGTGTGATGATGGTACTGTGCTTAGGAGAAAGAGAGGGAAGGAGGGAAGAGAGGAAAAGGGAAAGACAGGTGGGGAAAGAATATCTTTCTCCCTGAAGACACAAACTAGAATATATAAATTATGGTCAAAATATACTTCAAAATAATTGGAGGGGGGACAGCAGATGGAGATAGATTAACAAATACTAAAACTAAGTAAAAGGTACATTGGGGTACTTTATACTATTTTTGCATCATTTTCCAGGATAAAATGTTTCAAGATAACAGGCTCATGATAAAAAAGCAGCAGACTTGTAAAATTGCCAAATGATAAAATAAGGCTGTGGTTTAAAATAGCTTTAGATTAAAAACAAAACAAAACAGGGAAAACTAACTTGAATCCTATTTCAACTTAGCACATTTATTATTGTGTTTAATAAACCACTTTAGTGAAAGAGTAGAATTGAAAAATGTTAAAGGCCTACACCTTCACGATACTGAAGAATGTTCTGGGTATTTAAAAAAAAGCAGTCCAAATGCTCGGGAGTGCACTTGATAACCTATTCACCTCCGGCACACAAGCCACATGTCCTTAGAGAATTCCCCTTAATTTTATTACTCATCTCCGGTCATGCTTCTTTGTAAACTTCCTCACTGTAATGGACTGACGTGGGTGATAAGTCTTTTGAGTTTAATGATACAGTAGCTGCTTGTTTGCAAAACATGTCACTCTAGATTGTTCTACTCTAATGACAGTGACTAAGGGTATTTTGTTTTCTCAAGAGAAGAAAATAAATAAAAAGCATAAAGTCATCTTTTCCTTAAACTGTAAAAGAAATAGGACATTCCCCTTTAAGGTGAGGGGCGGGGGTGTGTGACTAGCCTTAATTAGTTAATTGCACTGCTGGCTGAAATTGAGAGCCTAAAAATAAGAAATTTCAAACATAAAGCAGTTTGGGACTTTCACTTGGGATGTAGAAAGCGGCAAAAAACATTTCTTAAACCCCAACAAAAAACAATATAAAATCATAGTATTTTTGAGCTCGCAGCTGGCAGAGAGAGGCTGCAAAGCATCAGGGAAACTGGACTAGAGAGGACAATCCACCCGGAAGACGCAGGACAGTTTTCCCTGCTGTACAAGCCAATCAGGAAAACTCAGCGAAGATTTTCACAGGTTTCAAGGCCAAGTGTGGGTCACTGCATCACTTGGGAATGGGACTGGTTATTTAGTGTGTGGGTCTCAGTGCAAAATACAAATGCTGGCAGGACTCCCTGCTCAAAATTAAAGAGCTCAGGATGGTGACAGCACAGCGCCAAAGGCAGCACAAGGCCCTGCAAAGGGTGAGGCTGTGTGGGACTGCACAGGCCACACATCATGCAGCCAGTCCTGGCTGGGGGACTCAGGCACAAGAGGACTTTCCGCTCACCTGCAAGCTCTTCTCTGGCCTTCATCAGTGTTCACGAGGAGAGAGAGGTGTGCAGACGACCAGAGAAAGCCACCTCTGTGCAAACAGGGAGGTGGCTGCAGAGGGACACACTCAAAGCTCCACTAGCTTCTTGGGGTCAGTCAACCAAGTGCTACGGCCACAAGGACACTGGCAAGAGACCTGTTTCTGGAAAAGCAGTAAAAGCAAAATCCATGCGCCTCCTCCCAGGATACAGGCAGGTACTCAGTGCGGCTGGGGAGGAGCAGGTGCAGGGAACGACAGGTGTTTGCTACTGCTGGGGATGACTCAGCAAACCACCTCCCTGGACCCACCCCAGGTACAGGGCAGAGTCTGTCTGCCACAGGCAGGAGGAACGGTAACCCCAGCTCGGAGGCCAAAGCACAAAGGCACTGTCTGAGACTGAGGCGGATCTGGGACAACAGGACATCTCACCTGCTCCTACCACGAGCCTAGCACACATGGGAAGCAACAGCAGTCTACAAATGGCGAAGCTTAAGAGCAGGAAGAAGGGCCTCTCTCCGACACAGGGATGCGGGGACAAGGGAAAGTGGGCACAGGGGAAACCTAGCACCCCCGCCCCACTCTAAGCACAAGGTGACAGCAGCCAGCCCATCACAAGTAGAGTTCGTCTCTGGGTTCCAAGTCTCTGCGTAATGATAGAATTCTGCACCCTGTAAAAATACCCATAAAAAATGAATATGAAACACTTTTAAGACACAAAAGTTGAAGAAACCCATCACTGGCAGACTTGTACTACAAGAGACAGTCAAGTAAGTCTTTAATGCTGAAGAAAATTATACCAGGAGGAAATAGGAATTTACACAAAGACATGAAGAGCACTGGAAATAGTACATATTAACATGAGTAAATACATAAAAGTTTATTTAACTTCCTTTAAATTTAAGTCTAATTAATGTTCAAACAAAAGTAGTAATGTTATATAGGGTGTTTAATACATGTAAAAAAGCAAAATATATGACAACAGCACAGTGATAAGGGGTAAATGGAAGTGTACATTACAGGGTTCTTATGCTAAATTCTATGCAACATTACTTGAAGGTAGACAGTAAGATTTATACCAAAAATCCTAAAGTAACAGAACACAGTGATACAGCTAGTATGTCACTCAGGAGATAAATGAAAAATATTCCATTAATCCAAAGGAATTAAGAAAAAAATAATATATGGGGCAAACAGAAAACCAATACCAAGATGGCAGATGTGAATCTTTTCATGTACTTCTTAGCCATCTGTGCAGCTTCTTCCATGAAGTGTCTGTTCACATCTTCTGCCCATGTGACTGAATAGTCTCAGTGGTGAGAGTTCTCACAGAACATGGACACAAGTCCTCTATCAGATACATTTTGCAAATACTTTCTTGCAGAGTACTGTCTTTTAACTCCATCCTTTGAAGCACAAAAATTTTTATTTTTGGTTCAATAGGTTCAATTCACCAATTCTTTCATTTTCCATTCTTCCAGTGTAGTTATTTAGGAAATCTTTGCCCAACCCAAGGTCTGAAAGGGGTTGTTTTCTTGTACAAGTTTGTGTCAGGCCGTATGTTTGAATCTATGATCCATTTTTGGTGACTGTTTTTCTAAGGGAAGCATCTAAAGTCATCCTTTTCCGTGCAGATGTACAACTATTCTAACACTATTTGTTGAACAGACAAATCTGTCCCTCAATTAACTGCCTTGTTTTTGTTGAAAAACAATTTTCTCTAAATGTTAAGCATTTATTTCTGGACTTTCGATTCTGTTCATTGATCTATGTGTGTCCATTTACCCCTGTACTATACTGTCTCAAAAACTGTAGTTTTGCAATAGTTAAGTTTTCAAATAGGGAGATGAATGTAATTTTCTTAATTTTTCAAAATTTGGGTATTCTATGTTTTGTCCACATTTTTACAGAGTTTTTCTGAATTTTATCTTATAGAATTTAAGTTTCCTTTATTTCATCTTGGATCCTCATTTTTCAAATTTCAAATTGGCTTTCAGAAAGTTGTATTTTTGTTATTGACCTCTAAAATAACTGCACTGTAGTCAGATTTTAGTGTGACATAATCAATTTTTTAAAAAGTTTTTTGATATGTAACAATCGCCAATTTTTAGAAACCTGACAAGAATGTGAACTGTTAGGGTGCAGAGGTCTAGGTATGTTCATTACATCAAGCTTATTAAAATGTTACTCAAATCTTCCACATCTTTTTTGACTTAATAATAGAAAAGGAAGCTGCAACCTGCCACTGTAACGGGAACTTCAATTTGCCTCTGCATTTCTAAGGATTACTGTTTTTACCATAGTGAGGCTATTTTGGTGTGTGCACACAGGTAAAGGAAGTCTAACTTCATTTGCATTGACCCTCTGCTCTTCAATTTTATCACAAATCCACTTAATATTCGTATAACTACTTCAAATGTCCTTTGTTCAGTACTTTCTTGATCTATTGTATCTTTTTATTTTCAATCTACCCAACTCGCTTTGCTGTTGGTGTGTGTCTGATAATGGGTATATAGCTGGTTAAAAAACAAACAAACCACATTTGACCCTTTGTCTTTTAATTAGAGAATTCCATCCATTCACACTGATTATAATTTTCAGATATTTACAGTTAACTTCTACCACCTTTTCTTGTACAAACACATAGTTTTTCCTCTTGTGTCTTTCACCCCCAAACCGACTCCCCATTCTCTCCTCTACTATTGGGAATTTACATGTACATTTGTTTAGTGTGATTACTAGTATTTCTACTAAACTCTTTTGGAGATTAGTCATATATTTTGTTTTTTAAAAGAGTCTTCCCAGCTACGTAATATTCTACAGTTTTAGATACAATTCATAGTTAAAAACATTGAATACAATAACCCAAATTACCTAACAAAATGTTTAGGCTACAAATGACTTTTTCATGATCTAAAAGACATCAGGTCCTATTTAAATTTTTTCTCATAAGCCTTATACAAAGAACATTAATTTAAATGACCTCAACGCCACTGTTCATTACAAGATTTTATATCAAATTTTAAAATAATAAAAGTTTCATTTCAAGTATATCACAGTAAATCAATGTTTTTGTTTAAGATGAAAAGTTTATTTGCTCAGTACACCGCAGGGATGCAAGCGCCGTCAGACAAACACACAGTAATATGCCAATCGACGTAAAACCGTGATTCAGTTCAGATGAAGGGAAATGTCTTTAAATGTTATGACTACATACTTCCAAGAAGAATCTTTTCTTCAGTTAATTACACATTTCAGTAAAATAAAGGATAATGGATTAAGTGAAAGTTAGCTTGTGAATTTTTCTTAAAAATAAAATCCCAACTCTATTAATCCATGCCAGTTAAACACCGAAACTACAATGTCCAAGTAAGTGCCAAAGGAGATGAAGGGGTATTTTTGCTCTGACAGTCCAAAAACGTTCACTACAGACACGGCAGGCAGACTGTTAAGACCGACTCATCTGGAACTGCACTGCATTCCCGTCTCAGCGCTCATCGTGGCGCTCAGTGCTCGTGGCGAGGGTGGCATGTTTTGGTCCATGATACAGTTTAATGCCAAGACAGAGCCCAATTCCCAATCTGTTACAGATACGCACAGATTACTGCGGCTGAGTGTGAGTGTGTGAGTGTGTGTATTTTTAAGCCAGTACACTTCCACATACAAAGGCAGGATTTTCCCAGGGAGGAGTTTATAGGAAGTAGTCTGGGGTGCGCCGGGTAACGTGAGGCTCTCCACGACGAGGTGCCGGGTCAAACTGAAGGCTGTTGGTGGCAACAAACAAAACAAAACAAAACCAAAAACCCAACAGTTAAAGGATTTGAAGTTGTAAGCAAATGAATCAATGTTATGGCTGAAATGAACACGCCAGTGCAGGTGCTTTGCATGAAACTACCTCACAGAGCTACAGCGAAAATTTAAGCAGATAAAATGTTGAACTCAGGGCCCGGAATAAAAGGTTTGCAGTATCATCATCAGTTAAATGGAAGTGGTAAGAGCAGACATGCTTATTTTCTGCAAGACTTCGGGGCAAAGTATTCAGACTTTTACTATTAAGAAGGATGTTAGTTGTGGATGTTTTGTAGATAAACGCTGACCAATTCATTATTTTTATTATGAAAGGGTATTGGGTTTGACAGCACTTTTTCGGGCTTTACTGAGATGATCATGTGGTTTTTGTCCAATAAACTGTTTATTGCCCTGACTGATTTTCATGTTTTGAACAAACTTTACATTCCTAGGTTAAATCCCACTTGGCCATGGTGTATCATCTTTTTTATACACTGTTTCCTTCAGTTTGCTCATATTTGGTTGCAGATATCTGCATCTACATACATTGACAGTATTTAGCTGTAGTTTCCTTACAACGTCACAGATTTTGGTATTAGGGCTACACAGGCCTCTAAGAATGAGTTGAGAAGTAATCCCTTGCTATGTGACCGGCTGCCTCTTGCACGCACCCCAACCAGGGACTAGGCCTGCAACCTAGGCATGTGCCCTGACCAAGATCGAACTGGTGACTTTCATTTTACAGGACAAGGCCCAACCGTCAGAGCCACACAGTCAGGGCTTAATTCCTCTTTAAATATATGGTCAGTTTCCCACAGAAGCCAATGGGGCCTGGACTTTTTTTGCAGAAAGTTTAAAAATTATGACTTCAATTTCTTTACTTGTTACAATTATACTCAGATATTCTATTTCTAACTGAGTCAGTTTTGGAGGTTTGTCTCTCTGGGAATTTTCCCGTTTCACTCAGGTTACCTAATGTGTTGCCATCGAGTTTTCATGACATTCCCTTATAATTCCTTTCACCTCAGTCAGGTCATTAGTGATTCTGATCATGTGTCCTCTCTCTTCTTTTTTTGGCCAGCCCAGTTTTTTCATTGAAAAAAAAGTTAATGTACTTGGTTTAGTTGATTTTCTCTGCTGTTTTTCTGTTCCATTTCATTTTCACACTAAACTTTCCTTGCACGGGGTTTAGTTCACTTTTCTTTTTCTGGTTCCTTAATGCACCAAGTTAGGTTTCTGATTTGATATCTTTCTTGATTTTTACTATAGGCATTTACAGTATAAATTTTCCTAAGATCATGGTGTTTTCACAGTTATCCCCTAAGTTTTGGTACATTCTATTTTCACTTTCATTTTTCTCAAAGTATTTTCTAATTTCCCTTGTGATTTCTTCTTTAAACCATAGGCTATTTAGGAGTGTGCTAACTTTCACATGTTTATAAACTTTCCAGCTTCCCTTCTGTTATCTCTAATTTCACTCCATTGTATTTGGAGAACAGACTTTGTATGTAGATTCCAATCTTCTTAAATTGAGGCTTGGTTTATAGCCTGGCATATAACCAATCTTGGAGAATGTTCCACATGCATTTGAGAAGACTGTACTCTGCTGTTGGGAGGTGGAGTGTTCTGTAGATGTTAGGTACAGCTAGTGTTCAGTGTTTCGTAAGTCTATTTCTTTGTTGATCTTCTGCCTAGTTTTATCATTGAAAGTGGTATAATCAAGTCTCCAAAGATTATTGGTCAATTGTCTAGGTCTGTCTTTCTTCAATTCTTTTAATTTCTGCTCCATATACTGTAGGGCTCTATAGTTCAGTGCATGCTTTACAGGGGGTCTCTTCTCCCAGTCGTGGGACTCTCACCATTATGAAATATGCTTTATGGCTAGTAACAATTTTTTAAAGATGCTATTTATTTATTTTTAGACAGAAGGAAAGAGAGGGAGAGAAACATCAATGTGTGGTTGCCTCTCTCATGCCCTGTAGTGGGGACCTGGCCCACAACCCAGGCATGTGCCCTGACTGCAAATCAAACCAGTGACCCTTTGGTTCGCAGGCTGGCACTCAATCCACTGAGCCACACCAGTGAGGGTGCTAGTAACAATTTTTTATTTTGAAATCTGTTTAGTCTGATATTTCATCCAGTCCAATGTTCCGATGGTTGCTATTTGCATGGTGTTACCTTTTTCCACCATTTTACTTTTAACTTATCTATACTTTCGAATGTAAATTGTTTCCTGTACACATCCAATAACTGCATTTTAAAAAAGAAACCCTGATAATCTCTGCCTTTTGTTTGCAGTGCTTAAATTGCTCACATTTAGTATTATTGCTATGACTGAATTTGTATCTTCCATTAAAAATGTGTCTTCTTTAGCTTTTAGTTTCTGCTTTATTATACTGACTTAACTCTAGTGCATTATAGAAATTTACTCCTATGTAGTATATATAACTCCTTTCGTTTGCCCTCCCTTTTTTGCTATTGATGTTATTATACACAGTATATCTACATACATTACAAACCTCCAAAATACTTGTAATTTTACATAATCTGATGACCTTAAACACACAGAGAAAGGAGAGCAAGTATATATTTATAGATTGTCATATTAACCTCATTTTTGTTTTCTTCATGTTCTTCCTTAGGATTCAAGTTACCATCTAGTGTTAACTTTTTTACTTCAATAAGCTTTACTCCCACCCATCTCCTCTGTCCTGTTATCGTCGAATATACTATATTTGCATGTATTTCCTGTAAATCCAACTGTACCACAAATCTATCCACACCGTGCACTGTGACTGGTTTTAACTGTTAAGAAAGCTGCAACCGCATGTCTACGACAGCCACCGTGTGCGTGCGTGTGCATTTGATTTACTTCCTCCCGTTGTTTGCTTTCAGCCTGGAGTAGACCCTTTTGGCATGTCTGCTAGTATTGAATTTTCTCAATTTTGCTTATCTGGGAACATTTTTCTTTTGCAGTTGTTTTGAAGTTTTGCTGGATGTACGATCTTGACTGAGTTTTTTATTTTCCGCACCTTGAATGAAGATATTGTCCCACTGCCTTTCTGACGAGACCGTCAGCTGATTATCCTATTCAGGTTCCCTTCCCCAAGTCATTTTTCTCTTACTGCGTCCCAAGATTCTTTCTTTTAGACTTTTAGCATTTTAACTGTGACGTGCTGGGCACAGATTTCTTTGAATTTATCCAAGTTAAAGTTAGTTGAGCTTCTTGGATGTGCAAATTAATTTCAATGTTTATCAGCAAATTTAAGAAGTTTTCGGTCGTATTTCTTCAAATACTCTTTCTCCCCTCCCCTTCTGGAACTTCTGTGCACTGACACTGATGTGCCTGAACCGGCCCCATGTTTCTGAGCTCTGGTCACTTGCCCTTCACTGTTTCTGCCTGTTAAACACCCCCTGCCCTGCTCCTTCGCTGCTGCAGGCATCATGTCATGAGAGTGATGTGAGCCCTCATAATTGGTTTCTCCCACGATACTCACTGTTTTCAACAAAATACTGAGGCTTGAGATTCCCTACCCTCTGTTCCAGGTAAGATCAGTCCCATCAGTCAGAGCTGAGGAACGTTTGGTTCTGCCTCTCACCCTGAACAGAGCTTCTATGCTGCTGCTTTGGTGCTGTTTCTGCCCCCATCCCCCCTTATTTTATTTTTTCCTTTTTGCCGAAGCTAGTGTGCATAGGTCCTGTTACCCGTGTCTTTTTAAAATTGAGATGTAATTGGTATATCATTCTCAGGTGTACACATAATGCTTCAATAATGCATATGTACACTTTGAGAAATGAGCTCTACAATATGTCTAGCATCCATCGGCACACATTGTTACAAAGTTTTTATCTTGTGGTGATAACTTTTAAGATCTGCTCTCTTAGCAACTTTCGAATATACAGCACAGTGTTAACTAGTCACCATGCTCTACGCCACACCCCCCCATTTCACCACTTCCTGGTGACACCCCCCGTTCCCTGAGCAGGACCCAGCATTCTCACTCTGCCGCGCACACCGGAGGAGACCTTCCACCCCAGGAGCGAGGCGGGGGACGAGCATCCCAGCCTGCTGGACGGCACCCCCCAGGGATACAGCTTCTGTAACCCAGGACGGGGCAGGCGTGCTGTGCTGGCTTAGGGCCCCCCGGGGATAAGACTGGGAGCTAGGAAAGGGCAGAGCCCCCCTTCTTGTCCACACCCACGCACAGTGGAGTGTCCGGTGTAGTTTCCACACAAGGGATCCAGGACTAGGGGCAGGGAGTCCACTGTGGCTCAGATTCCACAGACTGGCTGCTACTACTGAGATTTAATAGATTTTCTAGAATAAGTGTTTCTCTATTTGCAGTATATACTTAAGACAATTTCCAAAAATTTGAAATACTTGTTCAAAAGAAGTTTCTCCTGTTACACAGTTGTTTTCATTGGGGAGAGAGTTTACCACATTTCTCACTCCATTATTCCAGAAGCAGAAATCCTCTACCTTCCATTTTAATAACCTGTATTTTTAATTTTCCTTCTAAAAGTGGTCACATACAACTGAAATGTACAGTTACTTACAAGGAATATTTTAGCGTGTCATCCAATTCCATGATAGCAGCCTGGTTCCCACAGCGATAGCAGTAGTTGGGCGCACTGAAAATGGTGACCACGTTCCGGTCATGGCACCAGTTGTACCCCTGCAGCATCCAAACAACAGTATCATCACCATAAAGTTGTAATCTCAACACAGAGAAATCTAAACGTACACGCTGCAAGTCTGTCCTGTGGAAATGCAGTCTTTGAAGTGACCTCACACAGTGTCCATCTCTAGTATCGTGCACCTGCATGGAACACTGTCGACGCAGTTTTATCATCACGTGGAGCTCAGTGCAGGCCCTGTTTTGGGTTAACGTACGGCTGCGATGTCAGCTAGGATCTGCACTCAATTCCTCCCACCATTATGGCAGATTTTCTTTCTTTTTTTAAACTTATTTTTAGAGAGAAAGAAGGGGGGCAGGAGAAAGGAAAGGGGGGGCAGAGACAGAGAGAGAAAGGGAAACGCGGACTTGTTTTCCCACTTTTTTAAGCACTCATCAGTAGCTTCCTGTATGTGCTTAACTGGAGACTGAAGCGGCAACCTCAGCAATTTCTGACAATGCTCTACGCAACTGAGCCACGCGGCCAGGGCGGCAGATTCCTTGTCGCTTGTGTCGATTTCTGCTTTATGTATTTTGAATTTATTATTAGGTAAATACAGGCCAGTTTTCTCTAGTAGTGACCTCTTTTTTATTTCTAATTATACCTTTGTCTTAGAGCCCGTTCTGATTCATATTATTGGCTGTACTTTGACCATTTACCTGATACACCAGCACACCATTTTCCACTCCTTACTTCTAGTGTGTGGTGTCATTATGTTCCATGTAAATCCCAAATGTAAATCTCAAATAGCAGCTGAATTTTGATTGTTTTATCTGAGTCTCTTCTTTTACAGAAATAAAAATTTTCATCCGTTTAACTTTTTAATATTTACTGATATAATTAGATTTATTATCTTCATAAGAATTTATGTTCTCTATTATGTTCTCCTCCTCCTCTTGCCTTTACTGGCTTTGTAAAGTGTCCCCTTACATTTTGAAGCTACTTCCTAGTGGTTTGGAAGGGCTGTATTCTATTTATTTTCCTTTAGTGTTTACAAAACAGTAACACCACAGTAGAAAAACCTGGCAGGCATCTACATAACTAAGTGACCCAGGTAAAACCACCTGCTGTGGCATAAACACATCTTGTGACCTCAGACGTGAGGCACAGAAAAGGACACAGTGTCATTATGTGGTTTACCCACCAAAACACGCCTGGAATCAAAAGCTGTAAGGAAGCGTCAATCAAATCACAAATGAAAAACATTTATACAAGATAAAATTGTTTGTACTTTTCAAAAAAATGTCAAGATTACGTAAAACAAAGAAAATCTGAGGAATTATCTCCACGTCAAAGGAGACCACCTGCAGCATGATCCTGGATTAATTACATAAACATATATCCAATTACATTTTGTTATAAAAGCCATTAGTGATATAGTTAAAATTTGAATAGAGTGTTTAGGTTAGATAATAGTACTACATCAAGGCAAATTTACTGACTGTAATAAATATAGTATGGTTATATAAGAGAAAAGTCCTTATTTTTACAAAACACACATGGAAATCTGGGGGTAAAAGACCATCATATCTGCAACTGAGAGTCAAACGGTTGAAAAGAAAATAATGTGTGTAAGGGAAGGGGAGGAACAAAGAAACAGAACAGCAAAGCAAGTATTAAAATATTTGTATTTGTGGAATCTGACTTTAGGAAATAAAGGAATTATTTGGTACTGTTTTTGCAACTTTTCTCTAAGTCTAAATTAATCTCAAAAGTGAATTATAATCTTGCTCCAGCAAACTAATACTTTTGCTGCCTGCTACGGCCCGGCCAGCCAAGTCTTTTCTCCTTCTCAGATAACGCTGAAGACAGTCTCTGCTATTCTAAGGCACGAAGGCTTTGTTACAGACATACACATATTTATCTGAAATAAAGATCGTCCTCCTGTAGGAAAAGGACGTACCTCCATCACAAGCTGGTGAGCACGAGAAACCAGTGTGAGACCGTTGGCATGATTAAATGTTTCGGAAATGTCTTGTCCAAACGTGTAGCCAGCACCGCGCGGTGAAATACCCCATCCGCCGCGATCGTCCGGGTCTGACCATAACAGATCACACATTGGGCCCTGGTCAAGAAAAGTAAGGTCATGCTGTAAATTATTAGCAGTCACGTTTAAGTAATTAAGCTTTACTGCAATGTGGCTGTATTTCTTTTTCATCTAATTTAAACTAAGTTTACCTCATGTGGAACTTCTTGTAAACGATCCAGGGCTCTTATGTGATCCAGTGTGTCTATGGACGGAGAGAGGCCACCGTGGAGGCAGAATATCTGTTCATGAATTTCAAAATAATTGGATTAGTCGCTAAAAATTAATGCAAAGTAAGTAGTGAGTGTAAATGCCAATCCTAACAGCTCTTTTCAAAATAAAGTTTAAAAGTATTCACTGTGGAGAATTTATAAGATATGATGAAAAAGGAAACAAAAATCACATCAGAGAGAGATGTTAACATTTCAATGTATTTTTCTGGTCCTTTTTTCTTTAACATTCCAGGTGTTTTATGCAGTGTTTATCCCTTTCTCTGGTGATGAGACCCGGGTCCTGGTGGCCCATCGCAGCCTCCTCCCTCGGTTGCCACCGTGTGAAGTTTCCCCCTCACCACAAAGACCCCGCCGGCCCTGCCCCTGGGGCCAGCAACTTTTCAGTTTGCTTTGACTTTTCTGAGTGCAAAATCATGTTTGCAAATTTTTTTTTTCTCTTCTTTTCAGTGTTTTTAACCTTTTAAATTCTTCTTACTGCTCAGTATACTGGCTCGAATTTCCAAAACAAAATTAAATAATGCAAGCTAGCGTTTTTGTGTGATTTTTTGTTTTGATTTTTTGTAAAACATCTATTCCCAAGCACAACCTCTAGGGATTTGTAATCAAATTTACAGAGATTTTTCCTCCTGATTTTCACGAGACGGTTTCTGATATTTTGCTAGTAAGTACAGTCAGTGTAAGTTTATCTGATTCAATATTATTTTACTCCTAATGACTTAAGTTTTAAATAAATAATACAGGACTTTTTTCCAACAGTTATGGTCTGATTTGGGTTCTCTGTGCTTGCCATGTCTAGTGTGGTATCAGGGTTACCCCGGCTGGATGGAGTGGTCTCAAACTCCCGTCCTTCCCCCGAGCTCCGGAACACAGAAATGGTGTGTGTGTACTTCAATGAGGGCGAGATTAGCATAGAAACGATCTAGATCCAGTTGCTTTCCCAGCTTCTTCTAAGTTGGATGGTCTACTTACACTGATCTAATTTCCTCAAAAACAAGTTAATATTTTGCTGTAACAAATTTCACCCATGCTTCCAAGTTTACTGAAACGATGCCGTGTCTGTCACTGCACTGCGTACGCACCCCCGTATTTAGAGTAAGGCCTTATTTCTTATTCTCAGTGTTTCATGCGACCTGAACGCCCTTGTTTTCTCCTAGATCAGTTTTGACTATTACATTTCTTTTTTAGCAGCCTTTTCCAACACTGCTTTTGGCCACACTGGTCAACTCTACTTCTTTTTATACACATCTGTTTTTATATTTAATTAATCCTATAAGTTTACTTTGCTCTTTCATTCTTTGAGCTAAATGTTTATAACATTATTTCCTATTTTTGTACAAAACAAATGTAAGGATATGCACTTCCTTGCATTTCACCCCTTGTTTACATCATAAAGTTTCAGCCTGAACCACACTTCACTATCATAAGAAATTATTTGGATTTTCACTTTTTATTTTGAGTACAGGTTGAAGACTCTAAGTCCCCAAGCAGATTTTTCTTTTCTACTGAATTTCTAGTCTGACTTTTGCCCTACTACTTAAAATTGAAGACGGTCACTTAACACATGATATAAAAATAGATGGAGAGGTGGACAGATAAATGGAAAGAAATGAAGTAGGAAAGAAAGAATGAATGAGTGAATGAATATGTGGAAAGATTATCTGGTTTCTGTTTGTTGGGTACCAATATGCCAAAGGCTATTTACTGTGTGTATCTGTTACACAAGCTTCTCCCATTGTCCGTATACCATATATACGTATTTAATTTCTATCCACTTCACTTTTGAGGTATACAACATCTTCCCACAACATTTTATAAACAATAACCTGTCACTCATGGTGTGTATATTGGCTGTTTTGTTCTTTAAAAGAACTGTGATAAAAAAGATCCATGGCCCAAAGAAGGTAAAAGGCTGAGAGCAAATATACATAACTTAACTGAAACACCGTCTAAAGGCTCTACTAATGCACCATTTAAAAAGCCAGATTCACCATCAACACAGACTGTGTCCTTCTAAAATAATTTTGTCCATTAATTACGTTAATAAAGACTACGCTGACTTTTAAAATAAAAACAACCTTAATTAAAATTTAACACCCTTTAATACCACTTTGTTTTCCATGGATGGACCTGGAGAGTATTATGCTAAGTGAAATAAGTTAGTCAGAGAAAAACAAATACCATATGATTTCACTTGTACATAAACTCTAATGAATAAAATAAACAAACAAGAAATCTTATTTATCTAAGCTTCAGCAAAGTATTTTCGTTTTTTAAAAAAATTTTATTGTAATTTTTCCACTACCAATTAGTCCCCTTATACACCACTCCCCCTGCAATCACCACACTCTTGTCCATGTCCATGAGTCCTCTTTCCTTTTCCTGCAATCCCTTCACCCCAGAACTTCTCCGGCCCTAGCTGTCCTCCTGCTCTCCATCTATGAGTCTGTCTCTATTCTGCTTGTTAGTTCAGTCTGTTCATTAGATTCCACATACGAGTGAGATCATGTGGTATTTGTCTTTCTCTGACTGGCTTATTTCACTTAGCATAATGTTCTCTTGGTCCATCCATGCTGTCACAAAGGGTAAAAGTGTCTTCTTCTTCTTCTTTTTTAATGTATGGCCAAGTAGTATTCCAATGTGTAAATGTTCCATAGTTGTTTTATCCACTCATCTACTGATGGACACTTAGGCTGCTTCCATATCTTGGCAACTGTAAATAATGCTGCAATGAACACAGGGGTGCTCATGTTCTTTGCAATTAATATTTTGGGTTAACAAACAAAATTTTTAAAAATACCACATTGTTTTCTTTCATTTTAGCAAGTGTAGGCAAAAGGTTGTCCGTCTAAATTAATTACCACGCTCCAAAATCACGGCTGGGAACATGTGGTCTGTCAGGATCACACAGAAAAGGTCCTAACCAGATTATACTCCCACAAGCAGTCCGAGATGGTCTGCTACACCCCTGACAACTCTGGGATTTTATAGTTTAAGAATTGTAGTTACATAGTATGTTTTGTATTTATATTAAAATCAGTTCAAGCTCACAGGGATTACATCTATACACTGGGATAATAGGAAACAATTTTTTTCTTGTACTTGTGAATGTTTTTATTTTTACAGTATGTCTGTAATATTTGTTATAGGTAGAAATAAAGCATTCATTTCTTAGTAAAAAAGTCTAATACACAGTATTACTGCTGGCAATTTCCATGAAAATTGGAATAAAAAGTTATTAATAGTAGACAGCAAACCCTCATATGTGAAAACACTTTTAAAAGAACAGCTTTGCTTTACTATTATTATTTGTTAGGGTCTTAATCATCCATTTACCATATATATATATTTTTTAAATATTTTATTTATTTACTTTTTAGAGAGAGGGGAAGGGAAGGAGAAAGAGTGGGAGAGAAACATCAATGTGTGGTTGCCTCTCGTGAGTCCCCTGCTGGGAACTGGCCTGCAACCCAGGCATGTGCCCTGACTGGGAATCGATCCGCGATACTCTGGTTCGCAGGCCCGCGCTCAATCCACTGAGCTATGCCAGCCAGGGCCCATTTACCATATTTTATTATAATAAAGTATAATGGCATATTATCTGGCCAAAAGATTTGAACACGTATCTGATAACATGAAAATTTGGTGGTCTCAATATGCATAAATCTTATGCAAGTCCCTGTTCTAAAATCTTTATAAGAGAAAGACCCCCCCCAAAAACAGCCAAAAAGATGAAAAAAACACATCATATAATTAAGACCCCCTACCACTAGGAGAAAATCTTTCCCTCCTTTTATTCCGTCCCAACCCCCAACCACCCAGAAGAGCACACACATACACACCTGTCCATCTACTAAAGCTGTAAGTGGAAGATAATCAAACAGATCTGTAAAGTATCTCCAGACATTGGCATTTCCGTACTTTCGTAGGCATTCATCATAAAAGCCATATACTTGGGTAATTTGTCGGCTTTCATGGTTTCCTCTCAATATTGTAATGCGTTCTGGGTAACGCACCTAAAGGAAAAGCAAACAAACAAAAAACAAAGAGGAAAAAAACATGGTGTGAACCAGTGACATGTTAAATATATAAACCTATGACCCACTTCTTTAAATCAGTCTTTTGCCTGTAAGTTAAATGTTACATGTTTTTCAGAGTAAAAAATGTTCTCATTCATAACCATTGATTAAATTATGATGAAATATTTTGTGTAGACATACTTCTTTATCACTATTTGGAATCCTTATTAACTGATACCTGTATTACTGTAATACGTGTATGTGATTCTTTCTTGCAAACACCTTTATCCTCAGACTATCACTGGTCTTCTAAATCTAGGAACAGTGTGGCTTCTACTCCTGAAGAAAGGTCAGAGACCTGAGACGAACTCCTGTACAGACCAACTTCTCCCCCCTTTTCAACTTTTATTTTCCATGAGAAGATTGTATTTGCCAACAAAAATAGGCCTTTGCCAAATCTAAGCAAGATTTCAAATGTATTAATAATCTTTTTTCCATAACAAAATATAGACACACACTTTAAAGCATACTATTTGGTTGGGAATATGTCTGATAAGTTACAAAAAGCACTGGATTCTGTAAACCAAATTAACCAAAAACTGCAAACACACAATTCCACCCATGTATATTCACTAAGCATCCATTATATATGTCCAGGCTTAAACTCAGTGCTTAAAATGAGGTGAGGTCTCCACAAGTGCAACATTCTACAGGAGTTCTGCGCTTTAGGGACTAATCTCACTAAAGAGGTCTGTGAACTAAATAATGGGAGGCAACATGCCGCTACATAGCATAAATAAGGGGTGAGACAACTCTTCATAGTAACTTCAAGCAAAAGAGTGAGGCTAAAATGGTCGAAGACTTCATGGAAGAAGAACTGGAGTTGAGTCTCGGCGTAAGGGGTAAGAATTCACAAAGTAATCCCGTGAAGAAATTGAATAGAGACAGACTGAGCAATGAAATACTCTGATTTGATTTGCTACCAACTACTGGCAGGCAAATCGAGGCCACAGTCCAGAGGGGCCAGGCGAGGACTTTGAGCTTGAGTCTATTCACAACATGACATCACTAAAGAATTTGGGTGGGAGCAGGGAAGTGACAAGATGAAAATGTTAAAGAGATTTAATCAGGCAGCATATGCAAGAATTTGGAGGGGTCAGATCTAGGAAGCAGAAATATTAGTTACTAATATTACTGCTATGGCAATAATCAAGGTGGAATGCTAAAATGCAATCTAGGTGGAGATAGTGAAAACAGAAAGACACAGGGATAACAGACTTCTTAAGGCCGAGAATTTTAAAAGACTAGTTTAAAAAAAAGAGACTTGTGCCCTGGCTGGGGTGTAGCTCAGTGGACTGAGCATGGGCCTGCAAACCAAACTACCGTGGTTCGATTCCCAGTCAGGGCACATGCCTGGGTTGCAGGCCGGTTCCCAGCAGGGGACACACGAGAGGCAACCATACATTGATATTTCTCTCACTCTCTCCTTCCCTTCCCTTCCCCTCTAAAGATAAATAAGTAAAATCTTAAAAAAAAAAAAAGACTTGTTAATTGACTATAAACATGAAGGATAGTAGACTAAGTCAAAAATGATCCCAAGACTTTGGCTATGGATTCCCCAAGAGAAGGATTTACCAGAAGTCACCAGGAAGGTTTAATGTATTATTCTCATCTCTCTTTTAAAAGGTATAAAAATCTACTATTAAGAGTTATAAACTGAATGAATTGTTAAGTAAAACAGATAATATGCGATACTGCCACTGTTTCCTTTTGCTGGTTTAAAGCTTGAAAAACACCAAGTTTCATTAACGCACCTTTAATGCTACAAGAAGAGTCACAGTCTCCACGGAATAGTAACCTCTGTCCACATAGTCGCCCATGAACAGGTAGTTTGTATCTGGGGATTTTCCTCCAATCCTAAAGAGTTCCATAAGATCATGGAATTGACCATGAACATCTCCACAGACGGTAACAGGACAACGAACCTCTTGTACATTTGACTCTTTTGTTAAAATTTCCTTAGCCTGTCAGGAAAAGAATATCAACAATTAAAAAAAGATTCTATCACAAACTTAAAGGCATCATTCTTTATGTATTAAAATAAAATGTGGGGGGAAAACCTGAAATGCGCCTTATAAAATCATAAAACTAAAACCCCCAATGAGATGCCACTTTACACCCAAGTAGGATGGCTAAATCAAATAGATGATAACAAGTGCGCGCGAAGGAGGATGTGGAGAAACTGGAAGTAGCGCACATGCTGTCGGCGAAATGTAAAGTGGTGCATCCACTGTGGAACGGTCAGGCAGATCTTCAAGTTGAAAAACAAAATTACTGTATGATCCAGCAATTCCACTCTTAGATACACGCTTAAAAGAAATGAAAAGTTATGTTTACACATGTTCCCACAGCATTATTCGCAATAGGCGAAAAGTGAAAACACTCAAATGTCCATTAATTTGTGGATGGATAAATAAAATGGATACTATTCAGGGATTAAAAAAAAAAAGTACTGATACGTTCTACAGTGTTGAAAACATGACACACTAGTTCCCCATTATCCACAAGGTTCCAAGACCCCAGTGGATGCCAGAAACTGTGACGGTACCAAATCCTACAGAATCAATGTGTTTTTTATACATACATAACTAAAATAGAACAATTATAATAATACACCGTGATAACAAAGTTAATATGGTCAGTCATTTAAGGGGACTCTTTGCTGGAGTCTTCTCACAGGCTCGAAGCTTTCTGGCACAACATGTTGTCATCCACTGGAACGTGCTTTCTGTTCACGTCTTCCACACACAAATTTCATGGCTTATCCCTCTGAACTAAGCACCTTTCATGCTCTGTGTCTGTGACTTTTGCAGTTTGAGGTGGGACACCAAAACCAGCATGGCTTTCTTTTCCCTTTTTCACAATTCCATGCATAGAAGATTCATTCTTGGCACAGACCTCTGCAACCTTGGTACATGCTTTTCTTCCATGCTTTATTAAATGAAAACTTTCACCTTTTCACTTAAAGGAAGCACTTTAAGACTTCTCCTTGGCCTATCTATGCTTGGCCAGCATCACTACTCTTGCACTTGGGGCCATTACTAAGTATAGTAGGTGACTTGAACACAGCACTGCGACACCTCAACAGTGGATCTGATCGCCACGATGGCCACTGAGCAATTCACACGAGAGGAGGGTGTGCCGCATGGAGGTGCTGGACGAAGGAGGGGGTCGAATCCTGGAGGACACGAGAGATTTCATCATGCTCCTCAGAAAGGTGTGCAATTAAAACTTACAAACTGTTTATTTGGTCTATGGTTGACCTTGGGTAACCACCTGTGGAAAGTGAAACCATGGATGTGTGTGAGGGTGGACTACTGTATTAAGTGGAAGGAGGCAGTCACAAACTGTCATACACTGTATGACTCTATTAACCATGAATGTCCATAATAGACAAATCTACAGAGACAGGAAGTAGACTGACTGGTGGCTGCCTGGGACTACGGAGTCTGCGGGAGGGCTTAATGGCTAAGGGTACACACAGGGCTTCTTCTGGGGGTGATGAAAATATGTTCTATCTGTGAATGTACTAAAAGCCACTGAACTGTACACTCTAAATTGATGAATTGTATGGAATTATAAGAATTACAGCTTAATAAAGCTGTTTTTTAAAAAGATAATCATAAGAAAAACAAATTATTCATATTCTTTTACAAAGAAACATTCTCTCACCAATTCATAAGCGAAACTCCAACTTCTTTATTTGAACTGTTTCATATTTAATGGGGCAAGTTAGAATATATCCTAATAAGGCCCTGACTTATATAGAGTTTATATATAAACAAGACAAATTAAATGTACAGACTAAATTCAAGTTCATTACACCTTGTCTATTTACCACCTTTGCCTAATAGGGAAAAGATCCCAGAATCATAAAAAAATAATTTAAAAAAGGCCTCTGAAGGTCTGTAATAAAACAGGTATAATAAAAGTATATCTACCTTTCCATCAGCCCCCAGAAGAATCTATTAGGCCTCAGTCTGGGCCTCTTTCCTTGTGCTGTACAAAACTGTAGTGACTGTTTATCGCATGCCCAGGCACCAATGGAAAACCGTGATGGACAAGAGATGTGGGACTAATACGGACTACAAACTAGTGAGAAACAGCCTCCCCGTGACAGTGATGGCAGCGAAAATGACACTGGGCGACAAAAGGCAAACCCTCAGGGTGAGGCCGACAGCAGAACATAGCAGAGGACAGCCACCATGGGTGGGAGGGTAAAATTTTAGGGACATTTTGCTGCTCCCCCGGGGCTTCGATAATCTGAAGAGCATTTAAAGACATGCATTTTGTTTCTCTACACATAAACTTCCCATTTCTCTGTATCTTTGTCAACACGCTTTACCATTCCTGTCAATCAGTGAGTACACAAGTTATATTTTAATTTGCACCTGACACTTTTTAAAATGCAGCTTGTTATGTTTACTGGTCACTGGATTTGTGTGTGTGTGTGTGTGTGTGTGTGTGTGTGTGAGAAATACCTACTCACGAAATTAGCCTGATTTTCCTACTTGGTTGTTTGTATGCCCCCTACTGATCTGTACTAGTTTTGTTGATTTTTAGCATTAGAAATATTTACCTTGTACTGGTTTTATGCATTTTAAGTATATTCTCACAGTCTGGGGCTGGTGTTTTCATTCTGCTTAGTGCTGCTGAAGTTTTGTGGTTGTTTCCAAACTTTAAAATAGCCAAATCTACCACTCTCCTCCCTTTACGGTCTGTGCTATTTTGGTCTTGTTTTAGAGACCGTAGCCTGCGCAGAAGTCAAAAATGCACTCCTGTACTTTTATCTCAGAAGTTTTTGCTTTCACATTTTACGAGTCTTTAACCCAGAGTTGTAATCGTATGGTAGACAATCTTTTGTTGTATGGCATAATGCAGGGATTCGTTTCAATTTTATTACTCCTAATGATTAGCCAACTGGCCCAGCATTATTCCACGGTGCCATCCTTTCCCCACTAATTTGTAATGTCACCTCTGCCAAGCTTTTGTAAAGAACTATGTCTGTGTCCTGATTTCTAAGACCTGGACACAACCCTGCAACCCCCTCAGACTGTCTTCACGGCCTTTTTTCCTGAGGGAGCTGCCTAGCTCCCCAACTGCTCCACCAGCCGTCCAGGGAACCTCACCGTCGGTTCCCTGGATGTTTCCCTTGCCCAGCAGCGGAGCTGTCTAGAGTCTACGCTGAAGCTGTGGACCTGCTTGGCCCTGGTTCTATCTATGCTGAGCTGCTGCTCCGCTTCCAGACACGGATGGAATGCCACAGGCGGGATGTGGGACCTGGCTTCTTGAGCAGGTGCTGAGAGCTGGATGGATATTGTGTTAGTCACCTCTCCAAGGAGTGAACCTGAACTAGTGGGAAGAGGGAGAAAAGAGGGAACCAGGGAAAGAAATTTCCCTCTAAGGTAACATATCATATTGCATTGCTTCACAGCTTCTCCCACCTTCTTTTTTTCCCTTCACCCTACTTTCTTGGGTTTGCACCCCCCATATAAAGTGTCAGCTCTTTAACCCCTGCCTCTCATTTCATTTTCATTGGTCCCCCACCCTTCTGTCAGTAACAGACAGGTTTAACTACTATAATATAATAACTGGGCCCTGGCTGGTGTAGCTCAGTGGACTGAGCAGGGGCTGTGAACTAAAGGGTCACAGGTTCAATTTCTAGTCAGGGCACATGCTTGTGCTGCAGGCCAGGTCCCCAGTAGGGGGTGCGTGAAAGGCAACGACACACTGACGTTTCTCCCCCTCTTTCTCCTTCCTTTCCCATTTCTCTAAAAATAAATAACATCTTAAAAAAAAAGAAATATAATAACTGGGAGAAGAGGCTCCCCTTCCTACTCCTTTTATTCAAAACTATTTGGCTATTTTTGGCCCTTTCATCCAGCCTGACATATAAATTTTAGAACACCTCAAGTCCTATGAAAATCTCGAGATTTAAACTCAATTTGCAAATAAGATTTCGCAGAAATAGTAAAAAAAAATTAAACTCTTCAAGTCATATGACATCAAGAATTTAACAAGCTAATCCTACTTTTAATAAAAACACACTAAAGGAAACATTACCAAAAACAGAGGAAAGGTTATTTAATATACAGTACCGGTACGGAATGTTTATCAAGTTGACAGAGCAGTCACTCGATGTATGTATATACCATACACAGAAATCACCCAACATATCAAAATACTCCTGAAGAGTAAGGCTCACGTAGTCACGTAGCACACACACACCTGTCACATGTCTGCTGGGGACCAGGCTCCAGAGCCACCCTCTCCCAGCCTCAACACACTGGCTTCGAACGGCTCAGCCAAACAAAAAAACCTCCTGTATACAGTAAAATGAAAGAGAGGCCTGGAAAAATGTTTGTGACACAGAAGATAATAGGAACACGTTGATAACCACCATATAAAGGTGTGTGTAGAATAAATCACAATATGTATCAAAAATCCCTGATTCCATCAATCTTAAGTCCTAATAAACTATATTCATACGCTTGGAAAAGAACATTCAAGGATATAAAGCTCCCAATCAGCCATCTTCATTTAAACTGTTTAATGAAAGGGGGCTTGTAACTATTTTTATACCAATTTACGTATCATGTCAAGTTCTATTCTTTTGTATTTTAATGTCAGAAAGTTGACTTTCAAGTCTGAGTAAGGAGATTTTCTGTAATATTGATGGCTTTTAGTAGTTTCATGACATAACATTGAGACAGTGCAGTTTTGTTGAAAAAACAAAACAAAACTGTGTTTATTCACATAATGTACAGATAAATGAATGTAGTGGTTCTCAGAGTGGGACCAAGAGCATGTTCAGATGTAATATATTTGCTATTGCTGCTTCAGGAATAAATGCTTTTTGAAATTTCAATTTTAACTGTCAATACAGTAAACATCAATAAAATGACTTCTTTGTAGTCGTTAGTTTTTTTAATTATAAAGGGTCATGAGACTAAAATGCTTAAAA